AGGATACTCAAGAAAAAAGGAAATATTCTTTTCAAAGTTCTTTCAGAACCACGTATTTGACCATGTACATCGAAGGTTCTGACTTTCACTTGGAGTGGTTTGTTTCTATAGTTGACTATTTGTGGACTTTATATGTCTCAAGGCCCAATCACACCAGTATTTAAAATGATGAAAGATAGCAGCAAAACCAATTCACTTCAATGGAATCGCTACTGTCAGTGGAGGTGCTCTCTGCTCAGTTGTTAAGTTCAACTTGAACATAACGCAATGTTGCACCGTTGAACGAGAGCAAACCATCTCGACACTGCTGACCTTTGAAGGGACAGAGAGCCAGAGGGTCCAAAATGGAGAATGCTATTGTAGCGAATCAGCTGTGTCACCATCCACTTTTATTTGACCTTCCTCTGCCAGAGAATTAACTGCTCTACAAAAGAGGCATAGTCTGCAGATAGTTATGAGACAAGAGCCGATGGCACAAGTATGCCTCCTAAATGAACTGTGTGACCTTATCGTCCCCTTCATAACACTTTAGCACCGTCTATTTAAAAAGGACGCACAAATCCACTTTCAGGTGTGAGTGGTCCTTTAAAGAGCAACATTTTTTTTTGATTGTTTTTTTTTTTTTTGACATTTTGTCCCAATTAGAGAGTCTGACAGGAAAGAGGGGCAGGAAACATGCAGAGAGAGCAAGGAGACTTACAAGCAACAAAGGTTCTCAGCTGGAAACAGTATGCGCCCTAGACCACCAGACCACAGGAACGCCCCACTTTAAGAGCAACTTTAACAGCCTGTTTTAGCTCTAACAATTCTCTTTTACATATTCAAAAACGGCATGCAAACCCAGAAACCCCACGATCACCCCACAGTGACACTCCCTCACAGCCCTGACAGATTGTTGCTCCAGAGTCCCGCCATATTTCCCTGTCTACTTGCTTCAGACACATTTTCATTGTGGATTACGCTTGTCTGAAGGAACAGAGGAACTCAAGTTTTAATTAGTACAGCTGTCTACACCAGCCATGTAGCAGATCACATTTAACTTGCGTTTAACTGCAACCCAAAGCAGTAACAGTGACTCTAGTTCCTCTGAGGCCCCCAACTTCACAGATGGCCAAGATGTTGCCCAGAACTGTGCTTTTATGCTTGGTAACGATAGTGACGCCTCAGCAGATGCAGCCGTGGAGAGTGAAAGGACAGGGGGTCTGAGTGGTAGGCACGAAGAGGAGTAGATTCATCAACTACATGTGCAGAGAAAGTGTTGAGCGAAAAGCGTGCAGTCACAGAGAGGTGAAGTGATAATCATTCAAATGGGGCACGCACTTTCTAACAGTGTCATTCATGGTGTTTTATTACATATGCAAAGTGATGGAAATAGATAAGTGATGAGTTAAAAAAAAAAAAAAGATTTCGAGAGGGCAGTTCAAACCCTGCAGAATTTCTCACCTCCACACACCCAGTCAGTTGCTTTATGAAGTGGATGTGAAGGTGCTGAAAAGGTGTGTGGTGATGTGTGTGGGTTTCAGACACTGTTCGATGATCCAAAAAGAACTTTCATGTGAATCATCCTTAGTTCAATACTGTAAAGCAGCAGCTCACCACTCCCCTGTACTCAATGACTTTTGGCCTTACGGTCTCAGTCTCTGTGAAACTGCATCTCCTGACAGAGCACTGCCCAGAGTTCATTTCTGTTTAATCTGTTTTGATATAAGCTTGCTGCCAAGATTGCGGAGAATATAACTTTACATTGTACTTCAGTAATATGGAGCACAAAGCAATGTCACCTATTTTTTTTGTTTGTTTGTTTGTTTGAGGATGGCATTTCTCAATCTTTATCTGGAAAAAAGCCAAGAATTGCAATTAACACAGAAGACTAGCAACAGAATCAATTAAAAGTGTAAGAAAGAATGTGCATTTCATTTACTAACTCAAAAACTCTCTAATCTGCAACTTAAGACATGAGAAAAATGAAACTGGTGAAGCAGTTCTTCATCCCAGCGCATCAGCGCTCATAAAGCCATAGGTTTGCTCTGAGATATCTCATGTTGATTCCACAGTTACATCTTTATAAATACAGGTAGAGGTGCCTGCAGGTGCTTTTCTGCATGTACCATCATGGTCATCATCTTCTTCGCCTTCTATGTATCCAGAGGCCATCTCAGTCAGACTGCACAGCAAACAAGTGCACCTTTCACTTTAGTAGACTCTGTGCACCATGAGCTGCGGGTGATGAATCAAACTACTCCTGTCCTGCTCTCTCACTATTCATTTCATTCATAAACCCAAAATATTGCAAAGGCAGCCGATTGGCTGGGAGGGCGCTACGCAAAAAGACGGCGTGCTCGCAGTAGCCAATGACTGACGAGTAGTACGCTCTCTCCCTCTCTCTCTCTCTCTCTCTCTCTCGCTATCATGCTCCCTCTTTAACCCTCTCTCATTTTTGTTCTCTCTCTCTCTAGCTCGCTCTCTCTCTTTCACTCACTCCCTGCCTCGGTGCATTACAGCAGTCAAAACAGCCTGACTGAAGAGAGCGCAGTGTAGAAACAAGTGCTATATTTTGGAGAGAGAGAGGACAGCTAGAGAAGACCATCATCCTACACTTTAAGAGTAGATCTCACTTGCTCCGAGTCGCTCCCAAACCCCCCCGAAGGACCGAGTCTTACGTGGCGACTTAGTCCTATCTCGCCCTTTAAGCTCTGCCATCTGCGTATTTTGTTTTGCACTTTAAAACGTCCTAGGTGACAGGGCAAAGCACTCTAAAAATGAAACTTCATTGACCGATTGATCGGCTGATTGACAGCTATATTGGCTGATCTTTAACTGAGCCCCCTTGAGACGAGAGGGGGCTGACGTCAGGCCTCATTCAATATCACCCAATTCAATATTCACTTTGTTTTTTCTCTCCATGTGCAAATCTTTGTGGCACAGAGAGGACAAATAAACAACAGAAACGCACATGAATCAATAATAGCAGTGATCCAGTGACTCTCCATGAACTCAAAGTGAGTGTGCCACTGTTTATGGGGAACTGGGTTGACAGGGTTTAAGTGGAGTTTTCAGGTACAACACTGCCATCTATGGACAGGTCTGGATGCTGAAGACTACCAATAGATTACATCATCATGTTGAGGGTACTGATGTGTTTTTCTAAGATGCTATGGCTCAGACAAAGAGAGGCAGGGACGGAGACAGTTTCTAAATTGGATTGAAATAAGAGAAAGTTTCGAAGAGATGTATGTGCACACGTACAGAAAAAGGGGCAATCCTCCAAACAATGACTACCGTCCATAAACAAACCTTTTCTAAAAATCATAAATATGTACTAATCTTCTCTTTAATATTGTGTCAGATGTTTGTGTATGTATATTTTTATGTACTTAAGCAAATTGTAGTAGCCAAACAATTTTTCACCTCATTTGTGAGAACTAGGATGCTGAACAACAAGCCCGGCTAACAACAAAGCTCGTCCCCAATGTCTTGTTTTACGTCTTTGTCGATGGCCCTCAGGACTCCAGTCAGTTCAGCAAGTGTCAATAAGACCTAGTTTGAAACACCCCCCCCCCCCCCCCAACGGCGCCTGTTTTCAATTGTAGATAAAAAGATACACAAATGCTTATAAAAGCATTTTTCATTCAGCACATTGGCCTAAACTTCAAATTTGAAGGGTAATTAATAAGCTGTAATACACGTAATTCATGCCTGAAACCCAGCATGGGCGGACTGGTGCAACTTCACTTGAATGAAGGAAAAGAAGAACTATCACACCAGCACATCAGTAAGCATCTAATCTGCTGAAGTGATGATGATGATGATTTACACTGTGGCCATAACAGCACAAGGTCATGTTTTGTAGTTAAAACAAAATCCTCATCATTTCATACAACCACTTTTTTTCTCCAAGTTCCTTTTATAGTGACCAAAAAGGTTTTCTACAGCATTCTCCTCTTAAATATGTTTCGGATTTCACACAGAACTGAAACATCTCACCTGTGGATTAGACCTGAGATCATTTCCACTGGGTGCCAAATTCTTAAAAGTCAATTCCTAGCAAGAGATGTGTAACACTTTGTCACAAAGTTTCGAAACATCACAACCTAGTGTGTGAATGTCAATGATTCTGTGGGATCACACTGCCTCCTAGTGTCTCCACATATACTGCACTGGAGTCGTCTGGATTACACTGCAGGTAAGATGGGGTTGGCATGATGTAGAAAACTCTGAGGTGTTAACAGAAAGTTTACTGATGTAGTACAGGATAGTAGCCTGAGTGAACACTAAACTGAGCACATAACACATTGACTGCAACAAGGCAACAATATCCAGTCAAGTCAAATGCTTTAGATGCACTCATCTAACTGTTCTTCGGCAACTGTATGAATTTGAAAATTTCCCCCCAAAAAATTTAGCATCAATTAGTGACTTCCTTGCAATTAAACTGTATCATGATTCATTGGATAACTTAATTAAAACCATATTTCCAGTTGTTTTAAGATTACTATATGGTGGTTAACCAATGTAAAGTTAATCATAATCATTTACAATTATCAAAGTATGAAACCATGAAAAGATTTTTTTCTCCAAGATGTCAAAACTGTCACCACTCATTTAACAACAACTAGCTGGATGCTGTTTAGAGTTATTGTAATGACTAACAGAGTCTTTATAATGACTTGTTAGACGGCCAACAAAAGTGACTAATGAGATTAATCAAGTCAATTAATCAATTCATTGACGCAATTATACACTTGATTGGTAGAATTAAAGGTTTCCGACTAATGATATTAGAATAAGGAATTAACTATTTTATCGCTGCTCTTCAGACTGAGAAATTTCCCAATTTGAGTGACATTTGTCACAATATTCCTATTAAATAAAATAAAAAGCACAAGAAACCCCACAATCCTAGATGATATCACACAGCCAATCAAAGCTGCTGAAACAATGCTGGATAAACTTTGTTACCACACACATTTTATTCATTTAAAAACAAACAAACAGCTTAATGTAGAAGGTATCTGTACCTCAAAGAGATGAAGCAGGGTCAGTGATAACTGGTCCATCAGTATTTCAATCCTGAGGTCAGTGTAGCACGGTCAAATAATACATTAATACTGCGATGTGAGAGCAGTGGAAAATCTATCTTAATGTAAAAAATATGTAGATAAACACTCACACTGCATCTGTAACTTCACAACACCTTAGACAAGGGGAGGGACTATTCATGATTTCCCAAATGGATTAAAAGCAAGTCATTACCTCAAAAACTTGAACATATAAAAACTATAAAATGCCTTTGTGGGTAATTGGTAAAAAAAAAAAAAAGAAGAAGAATAATTTGCATGGATTTACAAGTCAGAGAAATGATCAAAGCACTATGGGAGTGAGTAACAGTAAGCAAACATGTAACAATATAATCGGGCATATCTCCATTTATTTTAGTTTGACACAGTAACTGAGAAACTGAGTTACATAAAAGCCATTTAGCCGTCAAGGTCTCCAAGTACAAACATGGATAACGGCATGACTTTGGTGCATAGTACAAGTGACACGGACTGGTTGTAAAATGAGGAAAAATCTAAGGTTAAAAAATACATCATAACAAGTCTACAGCGGAGCATTGTGTGTGTAAATGATCAAAACTGTCATGTATTGGTTTTCATAGTAATATTACTCCGAGCTATGTATAGTTCACAACCTCCATCTGTCTGGACAGACTACTCTGGTGTGTGGGTAAAAGAAAAGACCATAGTGGAGCAGAAGAAGCTATTCTTCAACCAGCTTTGATTTCAACAGCTGTTAGCCCTTTAATGCCCTTTCATAGTGGCTTAGATCTTACCAATGCTGATGACTGCAAACATGGCAGTAGGGTACCACCTAACAATTATTTTCATTATGGATTAATTTTTTTTTTTAACAAAATCTTCATTATTTTTAGAAGCTGGAACCAGCAAATATTTGACATTTTTGCTTAAATAAATTTAAAAAAATCAAGTTTCAAATTAATTTTCTGTTCATGATTTCAGCTCTACACCTCAGGTTTGGCCGTGTATGAACTTGGTTTTAATGATAGATGCTAAGAAAAGCAACCTTGTCATTTCTGACAATTCATTAATAAAAGCTTTTCTGACACTGACTAGACCCTAGTATTTTAGATTCTGTCCAAACTCTACACAGCACTCAATCTTCTGCCAACATAAGAGACGCTCGAGCAGACATGTGAGGGTTCAGTATCGAAATGAGTCGCTCCATTCATCAACAGGAGCCTTTTCACTCTCCAAGGTTGATGGCAGGCAGCCGGTTACATTTCCACACCCTTATTATACCTACCTAATTTGACACCATGAGAGCTGTATTCACCTGACATGGATTCTAACACTTTATATTTCTCTGCAATCAGGTTTTACTATGGAAAAGCTAAAGGTTTCTCAAGCAAGTCAATGCCTCTGGTGGTTCCTTGTGTCATCATTAGACAATTTCATGCCTCCAAACAGCAAAAAAGGTGAAGACAGGCTGCACTGAAACCTGAGCTAATCACTTGATGAGATGTTTGACATCAGTGAATTGAAGAGGTGTAAGATTTTTCACTGATAGGAGGAGTGTTGCATGTTCTGGACAAAGCACTGCTATCAGTTTGGGAACTTGAAAGGAATAAAATCAACCTTTGGGAAACATCATAAACATTTTGAGTGAATCAGCCTTTAATATAGAAAATTGCACCTCTAGTAGAATTTCCTAGAGTCCTGAGAAAACTGTGAAGCCAAAAGTCAGACAGAGACTGAGCTATGATGTAATTTCACTTGCACACCGGACAGGAACACACCAAACCAATACCTTAATATATGAAAACTGGTGTCAGCAATGACTTTACTGATCCTCATTAGTACAGTTTGTTAGTGTCATAAAATTCAGTGTATCCAATACCGGTTACATAATTCATGCCGAGCCACCAACTCAGTTTTTAGTGCTACAGCAATCGTGCGCATCATGTTATCTTAGATAAAAAATATTCCAATGCTGTGAGGTATACAGATTTTTAATTCGGGATCTCTGGCATCAGATTGGCGCTAGGTATCTGCAGATACCCTGAGTTGAGGTATGATGAGAAAATAACAGATCAGTGATCCCTAAGTTGAGGAAACACAAGGCATGTAGGTTCATTTCCATATCAGTGCAAGGTGATGAGGGACCAACCCTCTGAAATGAGGCACAGATGTGATTTTGTGTTAGCATCTTCAGTGGCTGAGTGACAATGGCACTCAGGCACAAAACCAGGAGTTAGCAAAAAAACCACAGCATTATTAAACATACAGTTGTAGTGTGCACAAACACCATCCACAGTTGTACCTTTGCCAGAAGTCCAACATAAGCAGCAAAGTCTCCGGGGTGGTTTTGGGCCAGCTTTAAATGCAGAAAACATCAGCTAAACAGTGTTTAAATCTTCCAAATGTGTCGTGAAAGTTCCTTTGTGTTCACGATACAAACTATGACCAATGGTGTCTTTCAGGACCATCACCTCATGGCAAACACTGGTGGGTCAAAAATAAGTCCTGTGCTCTGACAGCACAGATTGGACTTCAAAAAGAACAGATTAAAGCTCTGAAACAAAGTGTTTCGTCTGACCACATGAATGTCAGGCCATGTCCAAAATACCGAAGTATATGGTTATTCCAACAACCTGCCAATGTGATATTTTGGGGTTACATCCTCCTTCAGACACCCGTGTGTCAGTAAATCCCAGCCACATTGTCCAAGATAGGTAAATGGAATTCTATTAAAAAGCAGCGCTTCATTCTTTTATTTGAAATCCCCATGATATCCTGTTTGTGTGATAATATCCATTCCCTCCTAAATGATAGAATTTCCAAAATGGCTGTTCAGAGGGGGGGCATATCCAGGGGCAATTGGTCCAGGTCAACAGAAAAGAGGTCAGTGATGCCCTCATCCTCAGCCAGGCTCAGGAGGTAGTCCTCCCCATCAAGAGAGACAGCCAGGGGTGGAGTGAGGGTGACAAAACTCTGTTGGTCTTCAGAGGAGGGTTGGAGGGAGGTGGGAATGGGTGAGACGGGGGTAACAGTAACTGGTGATGAATGTTGTGTTGGATCAGACCGCAGGGTGTAGATAGTATTGATTCCAGAAGTATTGTTAGCATCGTCTAGAAAGGTAATGGGAGTGTGGATAAGGAGACATGGGGTAAGGAGTGTGGATAAGGAGACATGGGGTGGGGAAGAAACATGAGCAATGAAGGTTCAAAAACCCAAAGAAAAGTTGAGCCAGCAATCTAACGGTAGGCTTGGAAATAAGTACATTATCTTATAAGGTTCCTGTATGTATCCAACGCTCATGGATAGTTGCCACATTCTCTGTGGCAATAAAACACCCCTTTACATTAGTAGCCCGTCTGAAACAGACCATGGGACTTTAAAGTGTACGACTCACCTTTGACAGACACTTGGACGAAGGACGAGTAAGGCGAGAGGGGGACGGAGTCTTTCCCATTGGTGGGCGAGTTTAAGTGGCTATCATTGGCCACAGAGGCATCTGTGGCTTCCATAGGGATGGGATCATCAGAGCAGACGAACACCTCAATGGGTCCCTGGGTGCTGCTGAGGTGGACTTGGAGGCTCTAAACATAGGGCAAGTAGACAACTGTTCAGAGATGATTTAAGAAAATTACTAACAGTAAAAACTTCTAGAAAGCAGTTTCTTGAGAGGCTGCTGTGTAGAGAGAGGTACCTCCTCTGGATGTGGGACCTCCAGTTTTGTCTCGGCAGGGGCTTTGATCACAATCACAGTCTGTTCTCTCAGACTGGGAATCCTCTGAACATCCTCATATGTCAAATAGGCAAATGTTCAATCCAAAAAGTCAAGGACAATAATCACCCTGGTGTTTGTGTACAGACAGGGATACACTCAATGATTTATTCCAACTACCAGTCTGTCTTTAACAGGCTGTCTAACATTAGAAATAACAAAACAGGATCGTTTGAGTATACAAAAAAATAGATTCATTTGTTTTATATCCACCACTTCTTTACACTGTGCAGAATGAAGCTAGAATGCTCAGTGGAAATGGGGGGCCTTGTAGAGCCAAAATGATTAGTCAATTATTTGATTAGTTAATCAACAGGAAAACAATCGGCAACTATTTTGTGATCTTTTTAGAAGTGGTTCACAAATTAAAAACTTGTAATCTGATGTGGTATTGAAGAGATGACGTGTGCAAGAGAATATTAAATTAGACTCTGCACGTGTAAAAACAGATGAGGGTTTGTATTTATTCATCATTGCAGATGTGCATGTTTGATACATACACAAAAAAATGTGTCTGTTCTGCTAACTGGAAGAATGGTGGACTGATAAAAGGCTTCACAAACACCTCAAACACAACATGGCTGGTAATGGAAATCTTTCTTTTCCAACACCATCTACTACCCAAAAGATAAAATCATGGCTTCCAACATGATACAGTAAATAAATTTACAGAAAAAGGATATCTCTGACTGTGATGGTCCTCACACATCTGGTGAATCTGCCGTATACAGGTTTGGATCAGCTCGTCCAGCTTCCTCTCCTCCTCAATGAGAACGCTCAGCTCTGGACCTTTCTGTACATTCACTTGACCACCCCTGAGCACGAACAATCAAGCAGCAATACAGAATAAACACCAAACGTCAATGTGAAATTTGATTATATATACACATTGAATCATTAGAATAAATATTAACCAAGACAAAAAAATCATAATGTGCATATATGCATTGTACGACAAGCTCCTTTCCGAAACACACGCCATCTACTACGATCCACTCATACTTACAACCATTCAATGTTGTTTTTAGACTTCTTTTTCACCAGGTGAATCCCCTCAAGGACGTTGGTGACATCGTAGACACGCCTCTTAGGGGCATTGAGCTCGTGAGCGACCAAGTTTAGGTCCAACACCCCATCAGAGGAGCGGTTCACCAGCTCTGCAAATCTCCGTGTCAGGAAGCCGAGTGAGGTTTCATACCGTGCCTTCTCAAGTGGGGAAGAGTATGGCATGGGAATTTGGGCAGGAGCTGGAAACATGGATAAGAATTTAGGATAGAATTTCTGATTATTTCTTTTTACATTATTTAAAGCTGTTGTTATATGTGATATTGTGGTGTGCTTATTAGGACTACAACTCTTCAAGCCATTTTTCTCTTGCCACTGGGCAAAAGAGGAAGTGGGTGGAGGGGGTGGCATGCCCCGCCTTCTCTATAATGCAATATAAACGTAACCAAGGTGGTTTCAAATTTTTAACACTATATAACATTAGACATTATTTTGTCATCATAAATTCTGTTATTTCATTTTAAACTGGATAGTGTGAGTGAGAATGTGGTGTAGTTTTGTGTAGTTTAGTTCTGTTCTATAGAATTAAGGAGAAGTTATGAAATGAATAGCAGGACCATAATTCAGCAGTCCATCAAAGTGGCCAGTGTTTCTCTTGTAATACTACTCACAACAGGAGTGAGAAAGAAACTAATGTATAGAGAAACTGGAGGTCACGTGATGAACAAAGTCAGGTTCCCCGCAAAAAGAGAGCAAAGTAAACTTACAGACTACAAGTAATTGAAAATCAATGACAAAAGTGGAGCTGGATAGTGGTGAACATAAAGAATCAAGTGAACTTTGAGCTGCTGGATTCAGTGCTAGAACACATATCAGCACACCAGGATATTAAACCAACATGTTCTTGCGATATGCAGGAAACACCACTTGTGGTCTGGTCTTGTGCCATATATTTGCTGTTTGGTTTGGTTATGCCATAATTTGACAGTAAAAAAAAAAACGCAGAGGCACATGCTGGTTTGTGGCAAGTTCTACCACTTCTCTTGCCAAGCAATGGTACATTAGTCTACTGAGAATCCATAATACAAGTCATTATGGTACAAAGTCTTACCGTTTTCTCCTGTAAGGGAAAGAGATGCCATTGACTTATTGGCTTTGATGGTCCTGCCACCATCCTGAAGGTCCTGGGGGTCGCTGACTTCCAGCTCCAGCCTTCTCTTTGCTTGAAAGAAAGACATTGTACATCTTGTTAAAAGCAAGTCCATGCCTAAATATATCTAAAACGCTTCGTAATTCAGTGTCACGCAACTAAAGTTTTTTGATTGCAATCATCTAATGGAATCCTGCAGCTCAAAGGAAAGCAAGTTGGAGTAAACTAGCTATAAATCCATTGCATTCACTTGTGACTTCATTTTCATTTAATAAGAAACGAAGTGTCCTTACGTTAAATACTGCTTCAAGTTACTATTAAGTTTGTCATTACCTGAGGGTCGAAAAAGCTAGCTTCCCTCTCCAATATGTTTAGCTAGTTGGGGCAACATCTCCCCATCCCCCTCCCATGCTGACCCAAGGCCTAAACAGAAGTTTGCTTCTGGCAGCAATGAACACAATACAACTTACGGTCATCTCCTTACCTGTGTTTCCCCACGGAAAAAGGTAAAACTTAATTGTTTAAGTGCGCTGTGCACTCGTAAACTAAAGTGCGCTGAAGTATGTCCCGACAAGGCGCGGTATGATACCTCAGCCCAAGATAAAACACACGTAAAGTTACCGGAAATACACAAATGTAACCTAAGCTTCAAGAATCCACCTTCAAAATAAAAGCATGTCATACATTAGTGTCACAATCATAGCTATAGCATTAAAATCAGACAAAGTACAATTAACTATAGTGACCAGTGCTATAATGTGTCTTTAAACATTGACACATATGTTTCCCTGGTCTGATGGTGATAGGTTGACACCTCTTACGACTGCTATAGCTTCTTATTTTATTTTAGGGAGCAATTTGTTATTTTTCACTGGCCCAATAAGTAACTAAGACATTTTCCCAACAAAAACGCATTAAATCCCACATTATGGTGGTTACCAAATCACGGTTATTATTTATAACAAGTGTTATATGTGCTTATTTATGTGTAAAGCTAACTAAACTACTAGTTTTTTTTAACTTTCCAAAGCATTAAACTACGATTGTTGTTTAAGCAAAGGCAGGAGCGTACTTTATTCCTACTCAGTTGGTTACTTTTTACTGTTTACCTTTATTTTGAAAAAGGGTTTTAGGGTTTCCGGTGCTTTGGCGGGTAACCTTTCCGTGCCTGAAGCAGCAGCTGATTTCAGCTGCATTTCGAGTTCGGTGCTAATGTCACTGAACCCTCTTGAACTAGGCTAATTTAACCAACTAAACGCAGATACCTAATGCCAAACACTGAACAAAAAATGACCCTATCAGGAGAGATAGATGGTAAAACGAATACGTACAAATGTGTTAGAGCCAAAGTGGCTATGCAACACGGATGGCGGTATGTGTAAATAAACATTCACGTCAAACTAACATTAGCTAATTACAGACAGTTAAGGGTCCTGAGCTTGCGACCACCTGATATAGCACCTTCTATGTTCTTCGTAAGTTTTCAAGTCGGCATGTTAAATACAAAATTTTGCCTCTAGTTAATACATTCACTCCTTCACGCTTACGTTTCTGCCTTGTCCCGGTAGTTGAGGGTCCACACGAACCGGACTTCTCGCTGTCAGACCAAACGCAAGCCGGGAGAAGAGCTGAGGGTCCGTGTGGTCGAGCTACTCTCGGAACATCACGCGTGATTATCGTCAGAGCCCTCCGGGTCGGCTCCTATTACTCAGACAACTTATTGTTTTTTTTACCGCTCGCACAATATCTAACGAGTCGTGGCCATCTCCATATGATTGAACCCATCTCCAATTAATCATGCACATACACATACTTTTGTGACAGAGACAAACCCCTGTCCAGATCAAATGGATGTGCTACGCGCTAGACCAGATTCCCCGGCACAGTTTTGAATCTGATTTGCATGTAAACTGCTATTGGCCAGCACTCTACGTAGAACCGTGTACGTCTGATGCAGCTACAGCCAACCAATGGCCATAGAGCTCTGTAACAAGGTGGGTTATTTTTAAATTAACAGTAGAATGTTATTATGATACTTCATGTGCTGCATTGCTGTTCTCAAATTATTCAAATAATATTTTCCGTGATGTAATTAATATATGAACATATGCTGGGAATGAATATAAGGCAACAAATTCACTACCTGTAACTATAAACTTTATATTTTTTAAACACGAAACAACATGATGAAATACCAGAAACAAGAGAAATCATTTGGTTTATGGTCTTCCTGCCATGGATACTCATGTGTATCACCATACATCAGTTTCATATAATGTGTACACTAACTACCATGATAAGAAGACATGGTTTATGTCATATTAGTGGAACTGTGCCAGTCAAAGAACTGTGTACAAGTTAAAACATTCAATAAAAAAAACATCAAACACCACTGCTTTCAATTTTTAGCGCAATTATATAGCACATCCTTACAAATGACTTGTTCCTCAATCCGTGGTAAACATACAGGTAAACATACAGCATAGCAAATCAAAATATTTTAACAACAAACTTCTATTGATGTTTTATAAAGAAATATCATGTCTTTTTAGTCACAGGGATAATACAACAGTTTACACCCTTTAAAACACTGTCACAGAACATAAGTGACAAGCTTTACATCTAACTAGTACACCAGACAGAATGGATCACCAAAAAAAAAATGTGAGTCACTCAACCAAGTATGTGCAATTACAAGCAAACAAAGTAGGATCAGTCGTCATCATCAAACTTGATTTTCTTACCCTGGAAGGCCAGGATTTGTCCTTGCTGCTCCTTTCTTTTTTTACTGGCCTCCCAGGATGGATGCAATGCCTGCTGTGTTGCCTGCTGGGAAAAGGCACCTCCACCTGTGTGAACCTTTTGCCTCATAACATCACCTCCACCTCGTCCTCGTCCTCGTCCCCTCCCTCTGCCTTCAGGGCAGGGCTTGCTGTACTTGGGCCCTGAATTTCTTTCTGTTCCTGTAACATGCTTCTGGAACTTGGATTGTTTACTAAAATCTCTGTTTAAACCACTGCCACCCATTGGTTTCTTTTGGTCCCTAAATTTATCCCCACCTCTCCCTCTGCCTGCACCTCCACCTCTACTCTGCTTAGACCCAGAGAGGGAAGTACAGAAAACAGACTGAAGCGAGGTGGCTTTAGACTTCAGCCTGGACTCCAGCTCATCAAGCTCCCTCTGGACTTTGTCTGTAGCTTTCAGCTTATCTGCAGATTCCCCTTTCACTTCAGCCCCCTTATCCACCTTTCTCTCCCCTTCTATGCTATTTGGCTTCTTCTTTTTGAATTTGCTCACTTTTCCTAAAAAGAAGTCGTCATCGCTCTCCTCTGACTGGGACGACTGCTTATGGAAACGTTCCTCTGTGCTGTCATCAAAGTATTCTTTCTCTTCCTCATCCGATGACTCTAAATCACTCTCTTCTTCATCTTGCTTTTTCTGAAGCACTGCAGGGGTGAGTTTCTTTCCTGCATCTTTACTTTGAGGTGCATTTTTCACAATGTCCTTTACTTCACTACTTTTTGTTGATGCTGTTGTTACACTCTTAGACGCTGGTATTTCTTTCTTTTGAACATCAGCCACGTCATCTGAATGAACTGCTTTACTTGTGTCCTTCTCAGGTTTAGCTAAAGTTGCATCTTCAGTGTCTTTGAGGATACAGTCTCCTTCTTCATCGTCCGACATTTCCTTAAGCTGCACTGCAATGTCCTCTTCTTCTTTCTCACTCTTTCTTTCTTCCCTTTTGTCTGGTGACTGAGGGTTTACCTTTCTAGTTTTATTTTGCACCGTTTCCTTTCCTCCCTGCTTTCCACCCTTCATCCTCTCCTCTTTGAAGGCTTCAACAGCAGCTTTGATGTTCTCGATCTTCTTGTTAAACTGAGGGTGGGTGGCGATGCGTGCTATGGCCCGATCAGAAATAGTAGACTTGGGATTTTTACACACCTGTTCAAAGTTGAGATTCTTCTGCAAGGCTGTCTTGGTCACCTGGCAAAGGCAAAATCAGTTATCCAATTAGACATTTTAACAAATGTTTCCCCATTTTAAAAGCAGTGAGTGATTTTTCCACTCATTCAAATTTATTCTGATAATATTGAGGAATAATGTATTCCAAAAATAATGACTAATCAGAAGTTATTATGAAACCTACCAGGTCTGGTGAGAGCACCTTCAAGGCATGGATCTCCTCTAGCAGTCTAGCAGCTCTTCTCTGACTCCTCTCAATTTCCATTTCTTTCCCCTTCTTCTTCTTCAGGGCACCAATCTGTCGTGTCAGCTTCCTGATGATCAAAGCTCTCACCCTCTTCACTTCCTTCCTCATCTTCACCACCTCATTGTTGAGGTTCAGGACACCAGCCTGCTCTTTAGGTTGAGCAGGCAGAGGAATATTTTTCTCAGTTTTATCTGTGGCCTCCTCTTCCTTTTCTTTATCATCTCTACTTTGTTTTTCTTCATCATCTTCCTCCCCCTCTTCTTCATCATCATCTTTGTCTCCCTCTTCAGCTTCTTCTTCTTGCTCCTCTTCCGCGATCTCTTCCTCCACCCTCCTTTTTTCTTCAGCAGATGACAACAGTTTCTCCATCTTGTCCTTATTATGTATCATCTGTTTAAACATATAGCCATCTTAGGTCAATGACTGTTCTCACGTGCCGTCATTAGCAACAACCAAAGTGTAAAATTTAAAGAAAATATATACACTCATACACACACGAGTGAAAAAGTATCATGTTTTACATGACCCAGACTACATATCACACGTGCGTGTGAATATATATTTGTCTTTAATGTCATTAATTCTCACCAAAATACATTTGTATTACACCAGAGTGCTTTATCGAAATTATACGTAATTTTATAATGTGATGTCGCAGTTGAATAAGCTTGAGAGAAAATACTTTCTGTCGAGGGAGCAAAAATATGGTTAAACATCTGACCAAGGCTGCCAAAACAAACGTGGTTGAGTAAGCATGGATAAGTTTTACCACGTAACGTTACGTGTAAATAGGTTTATTTTACGTACAATTGGCGTTAAAATAATAAACTGCCGCACATATAGTAAAATAATATATCTGTAACCAATTATTTTCACACTTACCGTCCAGAATTGAACACTAAAACTTTAAAATTGAGAGAAATGTCTCAACTCGTTGGGAGCCGCCATGTTTCGTACGCCACTGACGGCGGCGTGACGTCAGTAAACGGTAAGAGGACGCAGCGTGTCGTGAAAAGGGGAGGGCCTTCCGCGGTCTGTTTTTATTTATTTCTTTGTTTCATGTGCATAAAACAACAACAATGGTGGATAATTGAAGAAGTGTGAACATAAGGATGAGCGAATGACATTTACAGTTACCGTTACCAGACCGATATCACAAGTGAATCAACAGGGGGAGGATGAAGCGGCGCAATGCGGACTGCAGCAAACTCCGACGGCCGTTAAAACGGAACCGAATCACCGAGGGTATATATAGCAGGTACAAAAAAGGGGCTGGAGGGACGTTATTGTATAACAATGGCGCCTCTCTGCATATGTCAAGACAGGGATGCCAGCTTCTGTTACATTCATATTTGAGCATGCCGTTGTCTTGAGCTACATATTCAGCTAAATGGACATGACCGCATATTGACAAAATTATAGGCCTAACGTTACTTGTATGGCATCTCGTATGAGAATTTGTTCCGAGCTAGGTAGTTAAATTCACATTCTGGCTAAATTCAGTTGAACGGTGGAAGTGAGACTCTGTGTGCATTCAGTATGACTCATTCCGCTCATTCCGCTTAATGTAAATGTTTTCAGCTAAGAAAAATAAATAGCATGGACTTATGAGAAAAATTATTTTCTAGCTTGAAATGACAACAGCAATGTCAGGGGCGCTCGTTTCGAAGTCTGTGGTGATGCCGACGGCGGGGCTCTCACCTGTGCTTTGTCTGGCAGAGGTCTCGATTTTACCACGCCAGTGAAACAATAGCCGCCAAAGCAGTCAGGTCTAACTAGACCATGTGAAGCGCACATATCATTTCAGTAGGTTGGATATGAAAATAGAATGCCTTTTCTTACAGATTGACTGATGGCAAGACAGAAAAAAGCCAGCTGTTCTATAAGTAACATGTCTAGACATGACACTCCATACATACACTGTCGACCTCTCTCTAACCCTCTCTCACTCAGTGTGGATGTCTCTCATGAGACGTTATCTATTCCAGTTTCTTTGATAACAGAAACTCATTATTGGACTTATTGGGAATATGTAGATTTGTATACATCTTCACTGTTGAATTGGTCTTTATCTTCCTTCAAACCTTGTATGAACTTGAGATAACACTGCAAGTCACACTGCAAATGTGATTCTTATAAACACTAGACTGTTGTCTAAACCTGATGTCATGATACCATCTATAAGTCTTGTCTAGTAGCTCCTCTCTGTCACCTTCTCATGTCTCTCTTTCACATTTTCCCCCCATATTTTCTCTCTCTCTTGTCTTCTCCCACAGTACATTCCTGTACCTGAAGTTCCTCGTAGTGTGGGTGTTAGTTCTGCTGGCTGACTTTGTGCTGGAGTTCAGGTTCGAGTACCTGTGGCCCTTTTGGCTTTTCATTCGAAGTGTCTACGACTCCTTCAGATATCAGGGACTGGTAAGAGCTTGTGTGCATGACCCTACATCCAGCCCCCTTTCCACCAAACATTAATTTGCTTGTGATTATTCAGGCTTGAGGTGGTCTGGAGCACATTTGAACTGATAAACAACAGAGGTTAAATGCTATGCAGCTCCAGTCCACACAGTAAAACAAAAACAAACCTATTTCCTGTAAAAGGATGTAGCAAAGAAACACTCATATGAAATATGGGACACAGGTAGCAAAGTCAAATGTGCATAATAATGGTATTGGCGAGCAAGCAAATTATCAAGTTTTTTGCAGTACACATGTTAATGTGTGTGCACATGCTTTTATCTTAGTGCACATGTGTATATTCATGGAATATTTATTCTTTTCTTCTATACCTAGGCATTCTCTGTCTTCTTTGTATGTGTGGCGTTTACATCAGACATCATCTGCCTCCTTTTCATCCCCGTCCAATGGCTGTTTTTTGCTGCCAGCACCTACGTATGGGTCCAGTATGTCTGGCACACAGGTTAGTCCAAGTTTTCTGTGGATTCTGTTTTATCTCTTCCAGCCAAACGGCCACTTTCACCCCAAAGACTCTGTGCACAAGAAATTCATAGCTGCCAAGTTTCTTCAGCGCGAGACCTGAAAGGGCTGATTTTTTTTTTTTTACTTCTTTTCTCCTCTTTTTCTACTCCCATGCAGAAAGAGGAGTCTGTCTACCCACTGTATCGCTGTGGATCCTGTTTGTGTATATTGAAGCTGCCATACGGTTCAAAGATCTGAAGAACTTTCATGTAGACCTGTGTCGACCGTTTGCTGCTCACTGGTAAATGTCATAGTGTAGTCTTTTCTCCTTTTTCCAGCAATGCCCATGAGAGATGGAGAAAAAAAAACATGATAATATTTATATATTTATATATATTTATTGCCTAAAAATATGAGGAAACTTTATCAAAAGCTGTGTGTCTCTTCACCTCCCAGTATCGGCTATCCAGTGGTGACTCTGGGCTTCGGCTTTAAGAGCTATGTGAGCTATAAGATGCGACTGAGGAAACAGAAGGAAGTGCAAAAGGAGAATGAATTCTACATGCAGCTTCTACAGCAGGCTTTACCACCAGAGCAACAGATGCTGCAAAGACAAGAGAGAGAGGCAGAGGAGGGTGAGACACACACACAAACACCCAGGAATCACAACATTTATTACTGTTCTTATAGCACATTTAACACTGCAAATATTCTGCAGGCTGGAGAAGCAGTAATGACTAGAAATGATCATACCAAAAGCAAAGATACTCATAGACAAGGATTTACTGGGTTAATTAATTAATTGAGTGGACACATTTATCCAGAGCCACACAATCTGTTTTCTCAGCATTGACATTGTGTGAAATTTGTTTTTATTTGTAAAATATATTATAGCTAAGTTTTTCAAAATAATTAATCATTTTAAGGGTGTATTCTCACTCCTGTAGTTGAGTTCATTTGGTCCAAACCAAAAGAAGAAAATCTACTTTGTGGCCTTTTGTGTTCACATTTGCATTTACAAATGAATCAAGAGCTGTAAACATGAAGTCAGTCATCTGGACTGATATGTAACTATTGATTAGACAGTTAAAGCAACTGTCACCCTGCATCATCAAAATGTAGAAATGAAACTGCATTGACTTGTAGTGAGACATGCTGCACTTTACCACTTTTTCATGTGTTTATTTATCTTCTCATGTGTTTACGAAAAGCTTACAAAGAAATAACAGATTATGAGAATTATTAGTCCAGGCTGCAAATAGGCTTCATTTGCCTTTTAGACAGGAATGTTATGAGGTTGTTGTTGGTTTGTTGCCGCTACTTTTTTTTATTGAAGAACTGCAACTAATTATTATTTTCTCAATTAATCATTTAGTCTATGAAATGTTACAAGAATAGTGAAACGTTGCCATTCACCATTGCCCAGAAGCCATGGGGTTGTTACCATTTGTTATTCTGTACAGTCCAAAATCTAGAGATATTCAACTTCCTGTTATGTACAGTGTAACAAAGAAATCAGGAAATGGTGAAAAAACAGTTTGGCATTTTAGCTTAACTGACTCAATTAATCAGTTATCAAAATAGATTACACAGTTCACAGCAGTTGGATTTTATGGTGGTTTAGTGTTAGATCATAAATCATATACACAAACCTGTGGTTGTCACTTTAAGCCAGACTCCCAGTTTCATGCAGTCTCAATCCAGTTGTTTAGTTTTAACTGAGTTGGATTGAAAGCTTCCATACAAGCCTTTAACAAATAGAATCAAACAAGTAAAGATGCCAGTGATCATTTCAGCCAAACAACCAACAGGTTAGGTGTCAAGGCACCCTGAAATAAGTTTTTGTGTACATTTTGTAGTTAATATACAGTAGGAAAGTGTTCCTGGCTCAGTCTGCTGTCATGAGGCTGTTCCTGTATTTTGTCTGGGATTTTCTGTGTTTTGTACCAGTCACAAAGGCCATGGTTCAGTCTCTGTTTATGGTCAAATATGTTTCCACTTGGCTTTGGAATTTTGTTAATTCTGTCCAGTATGTTTTCGTTCACTAATGCTACTAATGTGCTCGCTCTCTTCCAGCTGCTTTAGCTAAAGGGATCTCAGAGGTAGAAGCTTCAGTAATATCCCAAAACGGAGCACCGCCTGGAAAGAAAAGCACCTCAGTCCCATTACCAGAACTGGAGTACCGGGAAAAAGGGAAGGACAGTGCTGCGAAAGAGCGCGAGGGCAAAAAACAAAACACAATTGGAATCAATAACAACAGTATTATACATGCACTGGACTCCAAACTACAGGAGACAGAGTATATTGAGAACTACGTCGGGGCAAAGAGACTGAACAACGACCTGGCAGGAGAAAACACACATGCCGACACCAATACACACTCTACTTCAAAAGAGGAAATGGGGGGTGCGGGGAAGAACTATAAAAATGCCAGCGGAGGCGGGGGCAGCATTTCCAATTCATCTCCACGGAATCACAGTTCTACAAACGGCAGCGTGCCGCCGGGTTCCTCGACCAGTAAGAATGAGAAGAAGCAGAAGGGGGCAGGGAAGAGTCAGAAGGATCCGGTGGAGAACTGCATTCCAAACAACCAGCTGGGCAAGCCAGATGCTCTAGTACGGTAAGACTCACACTGACATACTGTTAACACCCATCCTCACTGTACCCATCCTTACTGTACATCTTGTTGCTGGTGCTTAGAGTTGATGATGCACTTCATAGTCAACATTTGCAACCATCCAACAACAGTTTCATTGTGCACACAGTAATGAAATACTTGTTTCTATGTGGAATAGTTAAAGGAGACATGTTTGCCTCTGTTGCTGTGGCTTCGTTTGGCTTTGGCCAGTCAGTGTTATCATGGCCCTCTCTTCTTCTTGCCTTAAAGGCTGGAGCAGGATGTGAAACGACTGAAGGCAGATCTTCAGGCCAACAGGCAGTTGGAGTCAGAGCTGCGGAGTCAGCTTTCCTCTCTGAGCAGCCAGGACCGCAGCCTCCGCTCTGAACTGGGCCAGCTCCGCCAGGACAACGAGCTGCTACAGAACAAGTAGGTGCATGTACAGTCTGCTCACTGAGTATACTTACCAGAGCTCTCACACAATGAATGTGGTTTTCTTTGAGATCCTGCCGCACATAATGAAAAGACTGGACATCATTCTTTGAAAATAACAAAGGGCCACGTAGATTTAGGAAGCTACAGTAGCTGGTTAGTGAAGGGCCATGTGATGGTCCGTGATGCAGGGCTGGGCAATCTTCTCCTTAGGTCCTCCTATAATCATGGTGCTGTGTTAATTACAGACCAAAAGCCCAAAGCTATATATCAAATTAAAAAGCAAAGAATCTGAAATGAAATTTAAGAATTATCCACAACAGAATCAGATCTGTAGGAATATTCAGTACTTACAGAAAATGTTCTTAAATGACTCTTTGCAGACAGTTATGTTTCCAGTCTCATTCAGAGGGAAGTACTTTAGTGTCAGATCCCTCATTTTGTGAGTGGCATCCTGTTTCTTGTGGAATAAAGCACTTGGTTTAGCTTAACTGGTTAGACAGTGTAGACGCCTGACAAACCTGTCCTGAGTTGTGTTTACAAGCAATGGAGGGAACTTTTCCCTGACCACTATAACATGCTTTTTCTGGTTGATTTGCTGACAGCTGTAGTTACTGGTGGTGACGGCAAATGTTGTTTGATAGCACATAGTACAATTGTTGTTTTAATAAAAAAAAAACTCAGGCTTTTTCCATCCTTCTCTGAGCAACCATGATCTGATTTTATGCTGCACACATCTTGAGTCTGCAAACAGCAGCGCACAGTGAAAGGAGTTGGTTACCTGGCTGAGAAGTTGGAGGTGTGCAGCCTGTCACCTGCAGCTCTTCATCAAACAGCTCACTGTAGTTTCTCCTTCTTGTTCCATTACTCCCTGAAATATTAAAAACTGGTCTGCTGTCAAAATATACTGAAAATAATTTCATCAGCTTCTGTTCAAGAAGAGCGCTGACGTTTTCTGCTGTAAAGCCATCGACTGTATGTGTGAAACGCAAACCTGCAATCCCTTGACAATAAACATTACAGGGGGGTCAAGTGCTGTTTAATTTTGTGTTTGACTGTCAGAGGCACAAATGATACCCACTGGCAAAACTATGAACTCTGGTATTATAAATGCATTAAACTGGAAATTGGACTGTTTAGATGAAAGTTGGGTAAGAGAGACGCCAGTGATTTATAATTGCACTCCTGTGAAGTTCAGGAATTTACAAGCAACAGATTTAATACACAGTATTCAAAATTGAAGCAGTAAAAGCCAAGAAACTGCAACCTTTAGTTTTTAGTATGGGTCAAGCTACAAAGCCAGATCCTACATTTCCCAGAATGCAACTGTCAAACTCGAAGTTCTCAGGCTGTCTGTTAAAAATCTGTAGTCTCTGAGCAGAGCTGACCATGATGAGGGGCGTTTTCTTCTCAGATATTAGAAAGTGTTTCCATGAGCTCCGCGTGACCTGTGTGTTTAAAATGATACCCCTTTGAAATATGAACAACTAACTGACATGAAGGAGCTTACATATTTCACTATAGCATAAAAATCCTGTATTGTACCAAAACAAGGTCAGTTGGAGACACTGTCTGGGTGACATGGATGTCTGCACCAAGTTTTGTACCATCCAGTAGATGTTGAGATATTTCACATAATAAGTGCAAACTTTGACCAGCTGGTGGCACTAGAGATAGATTTCGGGGATCACCTAAGTAATATGATGGCAACAACCAGGTTCAAAAGTTCAAAAGTACTCAACATTTCATTTCCCATGTTCCTCTAATGATCCAACCTGCTTGACTATTTCCTTCCTCACACTTCAGGCTCCACAGTGCCGTCCAGGCCAAGCAGAAGGACAAGCAGACCATCTCGCAGCTGGAGAAGAGGCTAAAGGCCGAGCAGGAGGCTCGGGCCCTGGCTGAGAAACAGCTGGCTGAGGAGAGGAAGAGGAAGAAGATGGAGGAGGCCACTGCTGCCAGAGCTGTAGCATTAGCCGCTGCCACAAGGTACTAATTAGAGGATTATTAGGAAGTTTACCTCTGAACCAAGGAGATCAGAGAATGTCAGTACATGAGCAAAAGATCAGCCCTTGTTCCCTCTGTCTGTTGACTCTTGGACCTTTTCGCCTTCTTCTGTTCAACAGAGTGGAGTCCACCGACTCTCTTCGAGTTCGTATCAGAGAGCTGGAGACGGAGTGCAAGAAGCTCAGCATGGACATGAAACTTAAGGAGGAGCAGATTAGGGATCTGGAGGGCAAGTGTCAGGTAAGACTGAATATCACAACTACTTTTTTATTAACATAATGCTTCATGTCAGCAAATCTTTACTTACTAGGTCAGTAAAGAGATTCTGTAAATGCTGTGAATGTAATGATATGCTGTCACGTTCAGGAGCTGCGGAAGTATAAAGAGAATGAGAAGGACACAGAGGTGTTGATGTCAGCACTGTCAGCCATGCAGGAAAAGACCCAGCACCTGGAGAACAGCCTCAGCGCTGAGACCAGGATCAAACTGGACCTCTTCTCTGCACTGGGGGACGCCAAGAGGCAGCTGGAGATAGCACAAGGTAGACACTGACTGTGGGGATGCAATGATACACTCATGTCATTGTCAGTCACTTTCAATACATCATCGTTCTCCATATTAAATAGATGCTTGAGAGTCTGTCTTTGGTTCAGAACTCTAGACTGGATGTCTAAACGTAGCCTAACACAAAAATGACGAGAGTGTTGTTAAAGAAGAAACATGTGAGTGATTTGCAGCCCACATTCTCGTATAGTCAAGATAGCAGTGTTTCCCTTACACTGATTTATTTGTGGCTGCCCAGCACAATATCAACATTGACCACCACATATTGATTTTCTATTTATTTTTTTTTCTATTTCAAATGGCCAGAATTTTATTTCACTGTAGAGCTAAGTGCAGCACGTTGATTTGCTCAGCCCCTCCCTGCCCTGCTCTCTCTCTCACAAACACATGGGCGACGGACCCCTCCTCTCCGTGCACACTCTGAATCAAAACATGATCATGTCCTCTGAAGCTGAATGTTTGCTACTTCAGTTTACATGAATATTGAAGAGGCACAGAGTTAGTTCGTACCAGAGGTATTAGTAAAACAGAGTACCTACACACTTAAGAAAAACACAGTCTGACCAGTGTGATTAGCCATCCAGTTAATTTGTTTAGAATATTTCCAGGCGTCAAGCAGTGATACTGTGGCAGCTGAGGCAGCCAGAGAGGGTGAGGAAGGGAGAGCTGTAGTTACTGAAGAGAGAGGTGTAGGAGAGGAGGACAGTAGCCAACATGCTGCTGTGGGAGAGCCAGAAGCAACAGGTGAGACTGACAGCAAGCACAGAGATAGATTTAGGTTAGCATCAACCTTTAAAATATACATAGCTATTAGACAATTAAATATGAAATTACCAAAAGTGAACAACGTAGCAGTGACTAAAACCAGACCAAACCGCTAAACCTACATTTGTAACCTAATCCGTCTGGGTACAAATATCTGACCTTGTACTGTAATCTAATGCCTAATGTTATTTACTGTTTTACTGAAAATAGAATCAGCAAAACGTAGCCATTACCACTGCCCCAATTACAACACTGTTTCTAACTATTTGACAACTTGCCTGCAACATCATTCAGTGTTTTTTCTAATCTATTCATGTAACATTCTGGTTGCTTTCTGTGCCAAAGCCCCATGGCATCTATACAACTGTCAATATAAAAACAAAACAAAAGCTGTGGAGATATAAAATGTTAATAATAAGAACTCCAGGTAAAACAAACTTGTACTTGTGTCCAACAGGTAAATTCAAGCGAGCTAGAGAGTGAACAAAGAGAGGGAGTGGCAGTAGTGATTACAAGAGAGCAGGGTCTGTGCAGATAAATACACCACCACATACTTGTAGTGGGTCTGACAGGGTGATGACTGACAGGGATTACTGTTGTATCAGTCTTCCCTCTTATTCCCAAATAAGAGGGTCTCCTGCTTTTCTTTGTCGTGTATGATTGTAAACTCAATATTTTGGGGTATTTGGACTTTATGTCGAACAAAACAAGACATTTGAAGACGTCACATTCGGCTTTGCAAAGTTTTTATTTGCATATTTCATAGACTAATCAAAGATAATAATTGTCAGATTAACGGACAGTGAAAATAATTGTGAGTCACAGTGGGGTATTGTAGTGTTTTGCTCATAATGTTGAGATCACAGCAGCAGGTGTCAGTAATAACATTAATGATGGCTCTGTACTCGTCTATTGACCCAGTCAGTCATTACAGTGACAGTGAGCTATGTCACACAATACCAGGAAATGAAGCAGGTAAAATTGAATTTAGACATCATTATTAATTTTATTAATTATACTTGTGCTTTTCCAACTGTGACATCATAAATAGGCTTCAGTGAGAAAGACATATTGGCTGTATATCAGGTTATAGCACGAGGTCTTTTACATGGCAGACATTTGAGCTTGTCATAGCAGGAAAAGCACAGGTGAAACCAATCTCCCTAACGACACCTCAGTTATATTAGGTGTCTCTTTGAGGCATGACAGTGAGTTGTTGTTAATGTTATTAATTACACCTGTACGTTCTCTGCTGTATGTCAGACATCTGCTATCAAGAAGCTCGATTATGGCAGGGCAGTGTAGCAGTCAGTTAATATTATTATAAATTTTCTATAAAAAGTACCATTAATCATGATAAAGCAACACCTCTACAGCTGTCGAGGATTCAGTTTGAAAGGGCACAAATGTCCCCTCTCCTCTTAATGCTGTGGTGATAACATCTACGTTTTCCTCCGTCTCATCCAGGCCAGATCCACCACAGAGAGCAGGAGATCGCAGAGCTGAAGCAGAAGATAGCAGAGGTGATGGCGGTGATGCCGAGCCTGTCCTACTCGTCAGACGGCAGCAACCTCAGCCCCGTCACCCCGCACTACTCTTCCAAGTTCATGGACAATAGTCCCTCCTCCCTGGACCCCAACGCCTCAGTCTACCAGCCCCTCAAAAAGTGACTCTGACACCTACACTGTTTGTCAGACAGAACTTTTTTTCTCTTTCTTTATTTCAGTGAAGCTCTCAGCTCTGGTTTATGTTTTTTTGAGTTTACCAGCCCCTGACAGTTTTGCACTCAGACACACACACACACGCACATACATACACAGTGCACACAACCCCTCCATACATATATGTACTTGGGTCCTTTTTTTGGTTCTATTATTAGAACTATTATTTTGAAGGGGTTGTGTACAGTAGGATTTTTTTGTTGTTGCTGTTGAGTTTTGGGATTTAGCCATTAGACAGCGGGATCTGTTTGAAGGGGGAGAAAGGAACACACAATTTGTTGGCCAAACGTCTACTTAAGAGCCATGATGCATCACTTCATGTCAGTCTTCTTTTGGTGTACAGTATAAATCCCCCCCACAGCCATATTTTCTTCTATAGTTAACTGACACCCAGACTTTTAATTTGAAAAAAAAAAACAATTGGCTTTCATGATGGTTTATATGAAGGCAGAAGATGTGTTTTCTGTTCAGATGTGAATTTGAAACTCACCTGTAAAGTAAAGCCCCTGTGAGAGATACATGAATGTAAAACTATTCATGTTTTGATATCGCCATTAACTTAAATCAGTGATGATTTGTTTTGTAATGTTTCAGTTCAGTTACGACGATGTACATTTCTTCTAAGATAGTGATATTGAGCAGGTAAACGTTTGCTGTGTTCCTCAGATATTACAAATACAATTTGTTCCCTTAATGCTGGAACAGTGGATTCTCCAGGATTATCAGTAAGTGGATGAAGCAGATGTAGTTTTGTCCTTTAAAAAAAAAAATGCTACTGATATATTCGACCTGGCACTGCCAAAAATGTTACATTATTGTTCACCTGTTTGCTGGAGACACCTTTTCCCCTCCCTCTGGACCAAATTAGAACCTGTTAGGCCATATTGTTCACTGGATTTAATGATGTCGAGGTAACCAGTGGTTACCATTATTTGCAGATTTTACAGTGCCTTGCAGTTCCTCTTTTTCAGATGCAGAAACCACATACTTTGCAATCCTGGGATCTAAAAAGCATCAACCTTCAAAACCCTCTCTTTGTCTCTCTCTGGCTCCGACTCGCCTGGTTCTCATTTGTTCGAGTCAAAGATTTCTCACAGCCTGAACATTTCAATTCAGTATTCAAAGGCTAAAACAATTAAGTGTCACTTCAGACACATCCAATCGTTTCGCAGCTAATTGACCTCAATATTACAGATTTTAAATGGAAGACATAACTCTGGACATGGCACAGTACATGTCATTTCATAGTGACGCAGTCTTGGTATGCCAGACACCAACCATACTGATTGTCTGTTATCATGCCGTAGAGTTGGCATTTAGTTGTTTACAACAATGTACATTAACTTACTGAGGAATGTTTTCTTTTGTTATCTCATTTCAGTTCTGAAGTGCCAAGTGTTGATGTTGGGTTTCCATCCATACTTTGATCGATGTAGCTAGCATAATGTTTGCAGAAGAGTGCTGTTATTTTTTGTCATTTAGAACATATTCGGATGGTGTTGTGTTTACAAGGTTCTGGGCTGATCATGACGACGCAGCAGGTGGTCAGTTGAACTGATTGTGTTATTCACACATTTATTTATTTGTTACAGAATTTTTATTGACAGGCACCTCCTTGATATTTCCCATCATATTGAGTTGATTTCCTATATTTTCTACCAGGAAGGATTCAGTGAATGTGTTGTGTTGGGAAAAGGTTACCCCTGAACCATTTGACCATGTTGTGCTGTCATGTTGCCTACCTGGGGAAAAAAAAAGTATTTCTTGTGGATCGCTCTGGCGTTGTGAATTGAGTTCTCAAGTTGCTTTTAGAAGTTTGTGTAGAAGGAAGAGAAGGTTTAAAAAAAAAAAAAAAAGTGCTTTGTTTTATCTTTTCATTGTTCCACCATGTTTATTTTCTTTACTCAAAGTGATGGTGGCTGTGTCTCACTTTTTGCTTTGACCATCACTATTAAAGAAAGTCTTGCTGGTGGCAATGCAAGCTGTTCAGTCTCTGTGTGTGTCACCATCTTTGTGTCAAGTTTGACTTTTTCTGGTTCGACCAAGGGGCCAAACTTTTTACCCAGAAGTGACCAAGAGATGGTGACGGTGTGGTACATGGAAACTGGGATGACAAAACAACAAAACATATTCTAACTGACTTTCTTTCTTTCTTTTTTTTATTATTATTATTTCATTTTGTTCATTTTACAACAAACAAGTTTACAATGCTATATTGAGATGTGTCAATGCCAGCAGTTCACAAAAGGTATTTAGTTTGTAAACAAACTTTTCTATTTTAATTTTCATATTTTCTCATTGTTAGTACAAAATACAGGAACAAGATCCACTCATTTACTTTTGTGTTTGGAAACACTGAAGCCACAGAGCTGCTTTGCTATGTAGGTTTTGTGTCTGTGATGCAATGGACTGACATATATGTTAGGTCAATATTTTCAGCTACTCAATTCCAGGAAGATAACACATTACAAGCCCTCTTTACAAAAAAGGTATGGTATCAGAATACAAACATACATTCATACAAATTAAAATCAGAAAATACTTTTCTCTCCTTAAGTCGATGATAGCACTTTCATAGCAAACACAACCTCTACAACCATTTTGCATTTCATGTGTAAGGAAATTTCTGAAATAACCCACAAAAAGGACTGAAACACATGCTACTAACAAACTGATATAACTACAGTTTTAAAACACTCTAGCAGTTATTTTTCAAAAAATAAAAGTTAAACTTTGAAATAACATAATGTCTCATATGTGTATAAAAAGAAACCCATCTTTAAGTTGTGATAAAACACCTATACTAATATGATATATCATCATTATTATATTTTTAAATGACGTAACAGTGCATTTCTATTGTATATGTATGTCTTGTATAAGTATTTTCTCACATGAATGTATATAATCGTACTCGACAGCTCACGAGATCTAACGTCCCATGTGACCCAAACGCAGCATTACTTATTTCTGACTGCACTGGAAGGCACCACAAGTCCATCCTCCCCATCAGCAGTCTGGTCAACAACATTTCTCCTGGAGGACTCACCAGCGAACTTCACCGACTCTCTGCACTTTAGAACACCCGACATGGATGCCCTCAAGTCGGCTGGGCGAGCTATCATCCGGAGCCCGAGCATGGCGAAGCAGTCGTGGACCTCCGGCAGACACAGAAGTAAGAAATAACTTGAGAGAAAAACGTGGAAATTATGTTTATTTTTTTAAAGAAACATTTTCCAGTGTCGGCGTGCTAAAGTTGACTTTGCTTACCGCTGTGCCCGTTTTACTTTAATTAACACGGATAGTCAATAAATACTATCTTGGTTAGCTAACTTAACAAAGCTTTTTGTTTCAAAAGCGAAAAAACATGGAAAATGTTACGTCGCCGACAAAGATGAAGTTTGACATATTTTTTTTTACTTACTCTTCTTAAGAAACGACTTTCCTCGTGTTTGTTTCTATTTTGGGCGAAATTAGTTTCTGTTTTATTCTGTAAGGGCAACAAGTGTGTTTATTTGCAGTGCGGTTTATTATGTTCCAAGTAAAATTCAGGAAATAAATGTTGTTTTTAAACTTGGCAGAATAAATTAAACCACAGAGCCAACAAAACGTGACACATGCAATTAAGGGAAATTGTTTTATTTGAAATGTTTGTTTTATTTTAAGAAACGATTAAGAATACAAGAATAATATTTTCAACAGGTTTTCCTCATGTGGCCCCTTAAAGCAGTATTTTGGATTTGTGGATAATCCCAGTCCTCAGAACACCCTCCTCTCTCCACTAACACCACCAAAGGGAAGTGCAGAGGTCACGATCAAAACTAGAACTTACAGTGAGTTTTGTGTCTTGCTCAAGAGCCCTTCAGCAGGACAGGAGCTTGCCCACACTGCAACATTAACATGAAACACTTTTGAGGCCACTCCGGCGCCCATTGTAGCACTCAAGGGCCACTTTGTAAGCTAAATCTCACTTGATCCTGACCGGGTGGCAGAGGGAGCCTGAAAGCTCCCCTGCCTGTATCCAAGAGGACACGTCAGGAATGCTGCAGGTCAGTCGGTGCACGGCCCCTGTTGGCTGGAGATCAAGCTGGCCTATTTTAAATTCCATCAGAATGGCCATTATAAAAGCATATAGGGTTAGTAGAAAATACAGGGTGGGTTACATAAATATCCCTCATTAGTGCATGTAACTTCAGAAGCGTACCTGGAAAATTAGTAATGCCTCAGGAATTTGAGAAGCACTCTAACATGCCAGCATATAACTGTGTTAATGGATAAGGGTCAGATTTTAATGTAGTTACTTCTGCACGGTTATCAGCGGCTGCGGTTACATCGGCCAACCTGATTGCTGATTGTAATCCATCCAACTGATTGTTCTCTCAAAAATATTTGCAGTTAATGACGGGTAAATAGAGTTGATAGGCTTTATAATGCGTCATGTTTAAATGCTACGTAAAGGGCAGCTGCAACATGCACAACACCCTGTGCAGGGCTCTGCATCTTCCCTTTTTATAATGAAGCAGCACCTACCAGAATGTACTGCTGCTGTGTTTATCAAACAGAGAGTAAGGCATGCGAAATAAGTACAAAACTTAAAATAAAACAGGGCTTTTTGTGTATTGTATGAGTTCCAAACCAGCCTGTTTTTTAAATGCATAAAATTTCCTTCAGAATGAGCCACTCTATCTGAAATGAGGTGTTTTGCATGAGGCAATCTGACTTTAACTGGGCTCTTGCTCTGATTATTAGTGGAATTACGAGCTCCTTGTGAATGCAGCTAGTGACCCACTTGTTATAAAAGTAGTATATTGTAGTATAGATTACAGGGTCTTCTCTGGGCTGCAGGGCACACATTCCTCACCATCGTTGACCCATATCGCCCGTGCCCGACTTCCAGCCCTGACTCCGGCCTTCGTGACCAAGTCGGGTATGACAGGTGAACGCAGCAGGACAGAAAACCAACAGTACTGTGGCACCTGAGGATAAGGAGAGCCTTGTAGATACAGATATTGTATTAGTGGGGCTCTATATGTTATCCGTGTGCATACTCTGGGATTGCATTGAGGACAGACCTATTCAGCCACATGAGGGCTGCCCCATTTTTAAATGGCAGTGGCCTCCTCGCTACCCGCTCTTATTGCCCTGGCTTGGTCGCCCTAGACGACCTACGCCGGCATACTGCCAGCACCAAGGACCGACCGGAGGGTGCTTGTCTGCAGCAAACAGCCTGTTTCCAGGGACCTCCTCAAATGGAAGTGTGTGACTGTGCCCCCACAATGACGCGCAGTAAGGCGACTCTCTGCCAGAATTGGAATAGTTCTTCCCTGTTATGAAGGAGTTATTTCGCCAAAGCGTGGGACTTGCTCTCAGTTTATCTTTTCTCCTTCAGTGAGGAGCTTGCTCATGGGCGAGGCTTTTTCCCCTTTCTGTTTCCACTGTTGTGTTCTGCTATTGTTGCCAGACTTCCCCTTTACTCCACTGGCAGCGAGAAACCAGTTAAATTTGACTTTGCGCCTGCATCTTACCTGGCGTGACATGGCTCGCCTCTAGTCTGGCGTGCACTGTGCGTACAGATACGGGAAGATGTGTGATGGGGGGGGGGGGTCCCCTGGAGTCACAGAACCAGGATGTTAACATATGAGTGTCTTAATGTACAGAGTGATTTATGTTTCCTTGTGGTGTTGAGATGTATGTATAGGTTTACCAGTTGGTTCCTGCCTGTTGAGCAAGTCAGGAGCTCTCTCAAAACTGAAGAGAGAAATCGCAAAGTCTTCAAGACTGATTTTAATTTATTTTCATAAAATACTAAAAAATAAAAATAAAAACACAAATGCTTCAATACTTCTCCAGTTGCAATGAGAATGCAGAAGAACCAGAGAATTTCTGAGGGGGAAAAAAATGAAACTATCTCACCTGATTTGACGACACTTCTTTAAGGATCCATATTCTCTTATGTCAAGTGAATTGGGTCTGTTTATTTGGTCCATACAGTCTAACGGCAGGATGAGTGAACTTCGGGCTAAATGCCTCTGAAATGTTTGTTTAACATCTTAGTATCAGACCAACTCATGTTATCACTTATGTGTTTACATTTTTCTTCAACAGCAGGAACCCTCACATCAGCTCAGATGAACTTGGATTCCTTGAAACCTGAATATTTTTTTATTTTTTTTGGGGGGGGGGGCCTGTGTAGACGTAGATCAGTGGAACTAAAAGAAAAGTCAAATGGTGGCAGAAGTAAGGTTGTAAAAAAAAAAAAAAAAGTTATTTGGCTTCGAGTTCTGTTGTGGGCCTAAGTTGTAGAAGTGCAGTTGGTGGTTTCCACAGTGACTCAGTGTTTGGTGCAGACACACAAATCAGCCAGGACGTGAATTGCCTGTCAGTTGGGGGCACGTTTGTTGTCACAGTGTTCAACAAAGGCTTTCTTTTTTTACACTTTGATGCATGAAACAGATACTCATCCATCAGTGTTGAGTTTGATGGATGAGATGACTAAAGAGACTAAGTGTTGTCTTATCTTGTGTTTGAATATTCCTTTTTGTGTTTTTCCTGCTGTCATCGAAGACACTTCCACTTGCCCCGCCATTAGAAAACTCATGATTTTTTTTTTTTTTTTTTTTTTTTTTTTAAAAATTCATCTCTTAACACTCACAGATGGCGGGGTCGGCTTGTATTCGCAGCAGAGTCACCTGGGTGTAGTTGGTCTCAGTTCACACGTGCATACAACTGTTACCTGTCATGTGTCGCTGTTGCTGACCTTTGATCCCAAAGCTCTGCACATTCCCTGGCTGAGCGGTGCCTGGTACCTGCACTGTTACTTTTCTTTTTCTTTTTCTTTTTTTTCTTTCTCAGTATAGACAAAACTGAAAACTGATTCTGGCACTCAGGAGGGGTTTTTTGTCCTGACCACATTGTGAGAACCTGCAATAAAACCTGCTTTAGTTCAAGCCTTCTGGGTTGAAATGGAAAGTTTTGTTGTCCCATGATGTTTTAAGTGGTGAAGCACTGGCATAGAATACTTGGAATTTTGGGAATTTTGTTATGGTTCATGCTTCAAGCTAAAAACAATTTTTTTTGCAATTATCAGCCACTTGGTCAAAATATGTTGTTTCCTTTTTTTTTTCCAAAAACTTGTATTATTTGAAATCTTTTTTTGTGTGTCTGTGTTGTAGGCAGAGAATTTCAGCTCAACAATGGGTGCACATAATTATCTTTCACACTAACAAGGGCTCTGCCAAATCACCACTTACAGCCATAGTGAAACCCATGGGCAGACATTATTTATAGCCTGAGTCTTATAAATTGTAAGTGACCAAGACACAGGGGTTCTAGCTCCCACAACTACTCACTGGAGCGTTTTTTAATAATTTCTCTTCCCAAAAATAAAAAAGGGGACACAGAAGAAAATCTTATATGTATTTAAGCTTGAACTCATGGCATCATGCGATTTTCCACAAAACAGTTTTAAAGTTTTAGCGTTGTGGTGCCTTAGATGGCAATGTGAGTTGTTTGGTTGGTGTATAGTAACTTTAGTTCAGAGTGAAATATCTGAGCAACTAATGGATGAATCGCTATGAACATTTGAGCAGACATTCATGGTCCCCAGAGAATGAATCCTGACTGACTTTTTATCTGGTGTCACCATGAGGTTCATGTTGGTGGTTTTAAATGAAATGTCTTTAATTGATTGTCATGAAACTTGGTATAGATTTATTTGTCCAGCACTTAAGACTATGACCACATACCTGCAAAACTAACAACATTCCCATCAGCCTCAGCTGCACTTTACTTTTAGCGCAAATTACCAAACGTTAGTATGTTAACACGTTAATGTAAGATGCCAAACATGGTCAACATTATACCTGCTAAACATCAGCATGTTATCGGCTTTGTCACTGTGAGCATTTTGCTAACATTAGCATTAAGTTCAGAGCACCACTGTGTCCAAGTACAGCCTCACAGAGCTGCTAACATGGCTGTAGACTCTCATTCTGATGCGCCTCTCCTTCAAGTCTTTGGCAGCTGAGTGCAGAAGGACGTCTTGTATGTTTTAAACTGGAATTCAAGAGTATGAAATATCCTAAAATTATTCAAAACACAGTTTTAAACATCAAATTATTTTAATGGAGGGTTCTTGGGAAACATTGAAAAGTTCTTGGCATGAAAATTGTCATATTTAAGTAGAGTAACATCCAGCCCTTAAAATAACCATCTTTTTTCGGTTTCAGTCCGACAATGCCTCTATCAACCTTTAAAAAACCTCCATGTCAGTCTAACTTGACAAACCACAGCCACCCTTCATTTATTGTGTGTGTGCACGTGTGTGTGTACATGTGTCTGCATGAGTATGTGGTATGCGCTACATCCCAGAGGAGCAAAATGCTAGGAGGATGAATTTCTAGGTAATGGTGATGTTTTTTTCCGCTCTTGCCTTCTCTTACTCTTCTCCCCTCCTTTTTTATTCTCTGAGGAAATCTCTGTAAACACAGCCACGGGGTCAGGGCCAGACAGCACCGCTCAAAAATGATAAGAAAGCTGCACGGAGGTAGCAGCTGTTCTTTCAGCAGTAACAGTTTTGACACTCCTCATTCTTTGCCAGTGAACATATTCGGCGCACTATCTTTTTAATTTTTCTGTAGAGGTTAACACAAAAGTTGAGACAGTAGAGCACTTTCAGAGAGATGCCTGTGGCCTAGTTTTGGGGGAGATTAGTTGTGTTACTTTCAAAAGGGAAAACCACACTTTCCTCTTATCACAGTTCGTCAGAGTCCATGTATCTTTGCTCCAGACTCTTTGCCTTTTTATTGTCAAGTGCTATAAGTTGTTTCGGAGTTGAAATATTTACTTTACATCGACAGTACCTCTGACCTAGATACCCTGTTTTGCCTTTCCACTTCAGGGAACAAGCAGATGAAATGGCTCAACTTTAAGTTCAACATGGGCTGTTTACATTTCCTCTGATTTGTGTTTTTCTGAAGTCCCTTGAATGTTCTCACGACTCATGTTAATTTTGGAACATGAAATGGAGAGAAAAGCAAATCTGAGCATCTGTGAAATATTTGATGTTTTTAACTTGATGAATGAGGACAGGATGTTTCCTGGTGATCAATGTATTGACCCACTTTTTCCTTAAAATGTGCTTCTCTCGCTCTCTCTCTCTCTCTCTCTCTCTCTCTCTGTAGTCTCTCAAGAGAACTGGACTGACACACGGGAGACCATCTTAGAGGGTATGACCTTTAACCTTCGTCACCTTGGCATGACACTAGTGGACCAGCCCAGGGGAGAGGACCTGTCAGCTGCTGCTGTGAAGAGGATTGTCGCCACGGTGAGAGCTGGTTTAACAAGCACAATGTCGTTGTTAACTTTTTTTTTTTTTTTTCTCTCAAAAAACTTTTTATTGAATTTTGAACAAGTGGACATTTGTATAGTGTACAATGGTATAAACTGTATGACGTAATTTGTACTGTATATCATATATATGTCAACTTAACAGAGTGTGTTCATATTAAAGTAGCACAACATGAAACCTTATCTCCCACATCCTTCACCAGCCTGAGCCCTTTATACAACCCACAATTCTTTATATAAAAAGGCGCTTCGCCTCTGGAGTAGAGTTTTGAAAGTACCCCACACCTTCAGGAACTTTTTGTTTGAGTTATAAACTGAATAGCAGATCTTTTCAAGGCTTAGGTTGTTTACTGTCTTCATAAAGATTATTGCTGCGTTGATGTCGCGTACGAAGCATGTTGCCATTGTTGCTTGAATTTGTTACCTCCCCATAATGACCATGTAGTTTAAAAAGTGATACAGAGGTTTTAAAGAGGTTTGACAAGCCTGACCTTGTGAATATTTTTTTCTAACTCATGGATGACTATGTAACTTTTTAGTTAAAGTAAAACCGCAGAATTAGGACTGCAGGGTTTTTCACTGACTTTGTCACACTGGTAAAAACATCTCATATCGCTTAGACATGGTAGGTTTTGATCAGTGTGAAAGTGAAATCCGGGTTATTCATGAATAACCTACAGATTTCATACATTTCTACACCGCTTTAAGTACTTCTGTGTAAATATTGGATGAAAAATGGCTTCACAGCTGCTGTGTGTGCTCTGTTTGCATGGTCCAACACACCAAAGATGGGTTCATAGTCAGTGTAAGGGGTTTGCAGAAGTCCCGCCGTAGCTACACATGGTGTAGGTTGCGACTAAGAGCTGAGTGTTGCCCATTGATAGCACCACAGCAATGGTAGACCCATGTATTTTACATCTTACATGATCATTCATTCATTAATACAGAGCTGTGATTATGGTGAGCAAAAACGTTTACAGTGGAAATGACTTTGCCAGATGTGCCACTGAAAAGGAGAAAACAACTGATTCTTTCTTCAACTCATGTTGTCGTCACTGTCGACAGTGTCTGCTGCCGTCTGTGGGAGAAAACACAGGCAGCTCAATTTAACCAGTCACAGTTGTTCCCCACTTGGTATCTCTGGAGCTGCTGTAGCTCCAGCAAGTACATATATATATATTTGTTAGCACCAGGCAGCTACATGTGAGGGCTCTGTTGTTGCACTATAACAACCTTAATGCAGAGCTACATATCAAGCCTTACATGCTGTCGAGCAAACTTCTCTTTACCATTGTCCCTCAAACAGGCCAAAGCCAGTGGGAAGAAGCCTCAGAAAGTTGCTCTGAAGGTTTCCCCTCAGGGAATCGTGCTGTACGACAGCTTGAACAATAAACTCCTGGAAAACGTCTCCATATACAGGTATGTGCAGAGCAGTATCTGTGGTATTTAACTGTGTTAAGCTGTCAGTGAGAATAATGCTGTGTAGCTGTTCTGGCACGTGACATACTTATCCTGCTGAAATACCCCATATGTTGTTTGTCTAACCTGTGACCTCTGGCCTGCAGAATATCCTACTGCACAGTGGACAAACTGCATGATAAGGTGTTTGCTTATATCACTCAAAACACCCTCAACGGGACCCTGGAGTGCCACGCCTACCTCTGCCCCAAGAGGAAAGTGGTGAGTTGCTTGACCACGGTATCAGTGTTTTTATGTTTAATTTATGAATGGTTGAATAAAGAGGCAGCACAGTGATTTTAAATTCAGCCAACATCAGCAATTTCCAAGTCAGAGTTCAGTGTACTTTTCTCTGTAGTTTGAGTGGGTTTAGAACTGAAAATCAAAACTTGCTGTAGTTTCAACGACCTGAGTTGGACGCCGTAGTGTGTTTGTATGAAACTGTGACACCCAGCAGGGCCCTCTTCAAGCTGCTAATGAATGAACATCATAGACACCATTTTCTCTGTAACATTGCTCCTCTTCCTCCATCCTTCAGAGGAAACCCTAGAAGTCAAGCTCCTCAAGCTCTCTGTCGTCTTCCTGCGTCTTCCTGTGTGTTGAAATACAGAAGGGCACTCTTCCTCTCATCTTACCTGCAACCACAATTATCCCTTTTTCTCTCAGGATAACATGATGATACTCAACTTCCTCAATACTTGAATCTCTCTCATTAGGGGTATGGAGATAGTGCTGATGACCTATTTCTGTCCTCTGCTGTAGCAGCACTGACAACTTTGATATCACTATTGAAAATAACTTTTTCAGTTTCATTCTGATGTCTGCTTTTTGATTCAAAATGCATTCAAATTCAGTTTTTTTTTTTTTTTTTTTACACAATATTACAACATTTAGGCAGAATGACTATAACCTGTATGATAACATCCTCATTAGCTGTCTTGCACTGACAAGCATAAGCCAGCTTCATGGCTTACTAATGTAGCAACAGCAGCTGACAGCGCTATACTGACGAGGGAGAAAATGATATGCAAGTTTATTTACTATGAGTGAATTTACTCACTAGAACTGACTGACTGACTGACTGACTGACTGACTGCTTCACACATAAACATAAAATCAAGTTTCTCATCGGGCTGCAGTTCATACCACTCAGTTACATTGCTGCTGATTCTGCTCTGCGTTCTGGGGTTACTGTATTCTTTGGTGGACAAACTATGCAAAAGTGAAAACCGATGAAACCGGCCCAGTGAGGGATCAGCCAGCCAGAAATTTCACTCTCACAACAACAGGATCAGTTCACAGAATGAAAGTGTCTCATCTCTAATGATCTCCAAGAGTTATTCTGACATAAAACAGGAGTCAGTCAGTGTATACTCAGCTGAGTTTCAGTGTTGATGGTTGGTGAATGTGAATGCACTCTTTCCAGTAATGGTCTGCAACAAAGTGAATTTCTCTCCTGTTGTCCAGGCTCAGGCAGTGGCTTTGACAGTAGCTCAGGCCTTCACAGTAGCTTTTGAACTCTGGCAAGTGGCAAAAGAAGGTAGGCACCTCACTCTCCAAGTCCTGGAAATGACACACACACACACACACACACACACACACACACACACACACACACACACACACACACAGACAGACTCTATCTATGGAAGAGTTGTTTCATCAGTGTCTGAGACTACTAGTGTTTGTACTGAATCGGCCCTGACACTCCAAGGACGTTGATATCAGCTGCACAGTTGCAGTAAACAGGTCTTAACCTGCTTGTGTCATGTCTACTTGCATCTCTTTTCTAGAGAAAGGGAAAAGGGTAAAGTCTGGTTCAGCCGGAGAAGGCAGCAGTAGTTCCCGTTCGGAGAGATCCAACAGCCTGGGGAGCCTGAAAGGGACAGGTAAAAACAAACGTCTACGGCCAGGCTGAGTGAGGCTGCACTCATGTTGCTTTGAATGCATGCTAACATGCTCACAATGACTTATATTTACCATGTTCGCCATGTTAGTTCAACATGTTAAATGGCTAATGTTTGCTAATTAGCACTAAACACAGATTACAGCTGAGGTTGACGGGAATGTCGTCAGTTTTGAAGGAGTTTGGTCGAAGTATTGTACAAATTAACATTTTGACCTGGTGATGGCTCTTGATGAAAAGGTCAATAATTACTATTCATTCTTGGGGTAACATAGATGAGTATACCACAGCAATCCATCCAATAGTTGTTGAGGTATTTCAATAAAATCCAAAAATGTCAACCTCATGCTGGCATTAGAGGAAAGGTCAGGGGATCACCTTCATCATTACATTTTATCCTCATGGGACCACGAACGTCTGCAGCAAAATTCATGGCAATCCAACCAAGATATTTCACTCTGAACCCTAAATGTCAACCTTATGTTGGCACGATATGAAAAGTAAGGCGATCACCAAAGTCAGGAGGATTTATCCTCTGGAGATCATGAATTTCTTCAGAGCTTCATGACATTCAATAGGGCAATGTCACTAGCTAGCAAGCATGCAAGCAGATTTAACATCATCAAATGAATTCACACATCAGAAACGTCATCCTCACCACTCTTAATGCAGTTCTCAAAACAGTTCAGGCATTTCCCGTAACACTGACTCTACCTGTGCAAAAGCCACTAAAACAGTAAAAACATTGTACATAAAGTCAGCAGTTTGCTTTCAAATGAAGGGCAATTGCACTTTCTCCCACCGACAGTATGTGGCTGCTCTCTCATACATATTTGAAGAAAGTTTTACGTTGATTTGATTGAAAACACAAATGCATTGCAGTGACTGATGAACAAACAGACTGAATCGTGAGAAAAAATCGGATAAAAAAGAAGCCGCAACACAATGACAAACATCTTTTACTAGTGAATTACACAGAAATGCTAAATGCAGAACTGTTTTAGAGAACTGCATCAAGAGTTGTGAGAATGACATTTGTGATGTTGTGTGAATCGCCTCGAAGCAAAAGAGAAAAATCGTAAATGTTCCAGGATGTTAACTTGCTGCTTATGCTAATGTTAGTGTTGAGTTCATGGTACAGCTGAGGAGAGATGTTTTAACAGAAAAAAAACCTTTTCATTTAGGTGTGGACACGGCCTTTCTCCTCGTCATTTCATCCCTCATTAGTGTTAACGATCTGTGAACAGCTGATATGTAAAAAACGCTGAAGCTTCACTGGACCGTTAGCATGACTGTAGACCGTTACTGATTTTACGTTCAGTACTATAGACGGATCCCCCGTGTGTGGTAAAACAGAGATTGATGGCCCCTTCCCTCTTCACATCTAGATGCTGCCACACACAACCTGTTGGACATTGAGGACAGTGTGAATGTTGCAGTGGAGACCAATGGGAATACAGAAGAGGATCAGCTAGACAACCACCAGCCCTCTGAGACAAATAACAACCCCGCCTGGGTAAGACCCTCCACTTCTTAGGCCCATCGGACTTAACGTGATGCAAGCTGGTTAGAAATGTTGTCTGATGTTTGCCAGTGCTGCAGAATGTCGCCATATAACACGACATTAAAACCCAGAGGGAGCAAGGGGGCTAGAGTTTGCTGAGTCCGGCAACTGCACCGACGGGGTATCACCTCTGTGACAACCGCACTTGGCCCTGATTGGCTGAAGCCTTCGCTGACACGCATGACGTCGTCTATGTTTTTATTCTAAGAACTTCAGACCTTTTATATCTCTCCCCCGGGGGAAGCAGTTTATTTGATCTCCTCCTTCTAGCAGCTCATTTCTTACATGTGAACATCATCACTATGGTTTTCATTTCCAAGCAGAAAGCTGTAAAAACAGTTTAGTTTAGTTATGACGTTGTAGGTCATATTTTTATCCTTAAGATTTCTTTTTTTTTCACCCTCCTGGCAACATGGTGGCTCTTGTTTTTTTGTTTTTTTTTTAAAACCATTATTTGAATTAAATTTCATGTGTGTCAAAAGACTAATGTAGACTTGTGTCCGGCCTGAAAATATATAGATCAACATGTTTTTGGGTGAGTAAACAGGGTTTATAGGTTTTGCACTCATATTTTTTAAAATAAAAAAACAGCTGTACATACCGTGTGATCAGCCGTTGTTGTGAGCTCACTGACGCTGCAGGAAGGAGGATGTGCCCGACTTGGGCGACTGGCTTTTTAAACTCCACTCCTGCAGTCACCGGCAGTTCATGTTGACCATCAAGTCAGTCAGAGTCAAACGAACGCAGCTCTTGCTCTGAGCTCTGTGTTGCAGCTGTGATGATGGCAATTCTCTCTCACCTCTCAAGTCTCCTTTAAACTGAAATCTTGATGTTCATTTTCCATTTGAAATTGTGAGTCCAGTCCGATGTCTGTAGGTCATGTAAGTATCCTAAACAACGAGATGAAATATCTTACATTAGTTTAAAAATATATAGCATAAGAAAACTTTCATTTAAATGTCTTGAATCAAAATGTAAGTCTGTTTGTAAATGTTAATACTTTGTTTGCTGTGTATTAAGTCAAGGTTCTTTTTCTCCCAGGAATTAGAGGATGGTTTGGATGAAGCCTTCTCCAGGTGAGACATTTCTCTTTATAGTTATGCTATCAAGTGGAATGAATCCCAGTTGATTCCCTTTACTGCTTGTTTGTTATAAAGAATAAAAAAAAATACCCCATCATCAAAATCTGCCCTGTCAAATCCTTCAGTATACTGTAGTTCCTTCTGGTATCGCTTTGCTTTACACTGCCACTTACTGATGATTTGTGTGTACTGCAGAATAGAAATCTTCGAACCTCAGTCAGATTTTCTAGAAAGCGAGGATGAATGAAGCGATGATCTGGCGAGAAGTGATACAATCGATCCATGACATATAGTTTTGGTCGACAGCTGAGCTTTTAAAACTGTCCTCAATCTACTGTGTGTTTGTGTCTCCAGCTGTGCTCTGGATAGCTATGGTTCATTTCCAGGTAAAGTTCAGTACCACTGTCAAGCCTCGTTTAGTGTAGTAGTCCTAATTACTAACCTTAACCTTAATCCATTCCATTCAATCATCACCAAACCCAATAACACAGTTTACAGCTCAGTAATGTTAGTCAATAGTGTGAAATAGCTTCCTGTGTCCTTTATTTACCCCCAGATGGAGTAATTGTTGACTGGGCTCAGAAAGGGAAACTGATTTAAAAGTATTGAATTTAAGTCAAAGTGAAAAATGTCATCTTCTGTGAGATCTCATCATCACCAAAAATTGCTTTTTTTCTTCCCGATAGCCCTGCTAATATATATAGTCTGTGTGTGTCTCAGTGGACCGCAGCAGAGGGATCTGTTGAGCAGTTATTGTGTTTGTGGTCACTGGGGTAAAAGTGGAGCAGTGGGTCACTTGAACTCCGTGACAGATCACACCATTTATTCTGTGGCTCAAATGGACTTAATGTCTCAAAGTTATCCCATTGACTTTCACCCAGACTTTGTTTACATCATTATCTTGGAGAGAAAAGGCTGTTTGCAGCCAAACAGAGGAAACCCAAATTAGAACAGACTGAGGTTTTAGTTATATAAACAGATCAGGGAGGCTGAGCCGCTGTGGAGGCAGCATTTAAATCGCTAGTTGACCTAAACCTCAGAGGAAGGAGCTGAGGAGCGACAGCTACTCTGGCTACGTGACATGAGCCTGAAGTTCACTGAAAAAAGATGTTGGACATCTAAGGTCATGAATTCTGGTTTGTGATTTTATTTTTATTTCTTTGACTCAGCTTCAGTTAGCTGGTAAGATAAGTACAGCCTCCCTGGTTATTGTTTGTATAAATACACATTACGAACAGACTCTCAGACCTGTTTATTATGAGTCCTCATGCGGCAGAAATCTACTTCATCTTATCAAATCTCAGTCTGGGGTTTCTGTGTTTTTAATTAGACCCTTACTAGAGGTTTTTGTCATTTGTCATTTGTCAGGTCATATTCATTCAACTGTAAGTAAAACGTGGGTGATGTTCTATATATGTATGAAAAGACCTAAACCAGCATGATCCTGATCCCGTCCAGAATTGTTTATGCAGCCTGATCTTATTTCTCTGAGCCTCAGAGCTCATGTGTTGTATAAAACTATCAACTCAATGAGTTGCACTGATGTTTCTTTCCTTATGATGAACGTGGATGCTGTGGTTTTTGTTTTGAGTCAATACACCACGTAAAACTTTGTCCACGAGCCATCAGGATGGTGAACTTTGACCTCTGTATATAATAAATAAATAATAATACATTTTATTTAAAGGCGCCTTTCTTGGCACTCAAGGACACCGTACACAGTTACACAAATTGAGATTAAAACACATTAAGAATTAATTAATTAATTAACAACAATAAAAATGAAATATAAAAATAAAAACAATACAAAAGTGACAGAGCAATTGGCATCAGATGGAAAAGGCAGTTTTAAACAGATGTATATCCTCAGCCATGTCTCACACATTATCTCCAGAGAATCCCTTCCCCTGTCCTGCGCATTAAACATTTGCTCTCGAGACATTTGTACATTTTACTCTTTTCACTGTACAAACCTTTCAATCCTTGATTCTTACTTTATACGGTTTTGAAACTGTATCAGTGTGGCTGAAAATGTTCCCCAACAAATGCACAATTTAAAAAAACTACAGTGCCCATATGTTCTGAATTACTGAGACTTTAAAGTATAAAACTATAGATTTGTGGTCTGTTTTTAAAGATTTTCTCTTTGAGTAGGAGCTGGGTGCTCAACTCAAAAAGTACTGAGACGGACTAACTTGTTGGTTTTGGTGTTTTCATGGGATTTATTGACAGTTAGAAGAAAATAGAATAATACCAGCTTCATCATTCAAGGATTAAAATTATTTTTAAAAGGGAAAAAGAGCTGTTTTTCTTCTTTTCATCATTTTCTCCTCTATCTCCTTAGACTGGCAGTGTCGCGTAGTAACCCCCAGGTCCTGGACATTGGGGTGACGCCCCAAGACTGGCTCACTGAACCCAACTGGGACAGCACCAATGGAAACACTCCACACGGCCTCAGCCCATTCGGGGACGATATCTTCGGCTTCTGATCAACACAAACACAGCAGAGAGAGAGAGAGCGAGAGAGCGAGAACAACTAGGGGGAGGAGGGGTGTCCTCGTGTCTTCCTATGAATTAACAAGGCACCACTGTCACTGTGTATTTAAGATGAGGATGCAGTAAATCCATAAGGGAATAAGTGTAGAACTGTGAGATTACATTTGGCCACTTCACCTTGTTGTTGCCTTCTTCACATGGACAATTCTTCCCTTCTTTGTGGAAACGGCACGGGCTGCTGCCCCTGCACACCAAAGCAATAATATCTTCTTTTGAGGTTACTGAGTCTGTCCTGTTAATACACTGCAAACATCCTTACAAACGTGTGTATGTACGTTCACCAAGTCATGTACGTTAGCATTTGTTGTCTTTTTGTTTACTTAAAATCTTCTGTTTCGGTAGTTTTGGGATCATAATCAGTGTTTTGTATATGTGTTTAGTTATAATTTATAGTTTTATATATATATATATATTTTTTTTTTTTATGGTTGAAGACAAGCAGGATTTAATTCAGACTGATGTGCAGACTATCAACAGGCCTTAATAACAGCAGGACAATCAGCGACGCTTCATCTTTCAGTTGTTAATGTACAGTATCAGTGGATTTAGTTCATGTGAGGATTTGGCCTCACCACCTTGGATGCAAACTGAAGATTGTTTTACTTCTATAATAATCTGAAAATCACTCTAGTTGTTGTATTTATATGAAATCTACAGGTGGCTCATTCAAGACGGTTTGTTACAGGTGTTGAATGAAGCCCAGATGTGCTCACATTCCAGTGTGGCCATATCAATGTACATTATAATCAATCAGTATTGTATAGAATTAAAATATATTCATTCCAAAAAAATTGATTGTTTTGGTATATTTAATGTAATTTCTTAACAAAACTAGAACGTCACTCGGTAGAGCAGATACCTCAGCCCAGACCAAAGGATCCAACACGTCTGTGAGATCCACATCTAGAGCGCTGTCGTCGTCGTCGTCTTCTCTTTTGGTTTGATTGGTGGTTGGCAACCAGCTTGCAGGTGCATTACTGCCACCTAGCAGACTGGAGTGTGGAGCATTAGATTGGCAGGAAAAAAAACAGCTAAATTCTCTCTATTAACCCTGTTTCCTTCAGATACCTAATTCTGACCTAGATCTGGACCTGCACTAAATTGAACAAAGTCATAAATGTTAAAAAAAACTGTTTTGGATTTCTTTACGTCAAGACCCATGTTTGATTTCCTGAGAAACTGCTGAAAGTGTCGAAAAATGACAGAACAGGAAGACGGAACATCCCACAGGAAAAGAAAATAAGATATCTCTAAAGTGTTTCATGTATTTCTCCCAGACAACTGATCTGAGAGAAACCAAAATGAGACCATAGCTTATTTCTCCTGTCTGTTTTTTCTCCAGGAGAAATCTCAAATTAGTCACCTAAGTTTAAAATTAGGTCTCATCAAGCTCTGAAATAATTCTCAGATTTGCTCAACTCTTGTGACTCTGCCTTTAGTTTCACAAATTCATACATGTCACACTAAACTCAGAGCAAACAAAGAGCTCAACAAAGAGGTTTGTTCTGCTCGCCCACAACTGATTGGGAATAAATTTCCAATGAACACTGGAATTATTATAGGGTCTTGTGATTTTTCTAGCTATTCATCAATTTATTAATTTGATTAAGGTTACTTAATCTGTTACTTTTACTGAAATAATAATGCATACTGTTGAAAGTGGGGTCACATGACTGCTGGGCTGAAGAGCAGCAGGAGAAAAGGTGTGCTTGTTCTTTGTCCTGTGTACTGAGCTCAGTTTCTCAACTTTTGTTGACAGGGTAACTTTGTTTTTGTTTGTTTTTTTAGGAATTAAGTTTATCTGGAGTGAAAGTGAATCTGTGCATCAAACGGAAATGGAGTGGTCCTCTGGCATTTGTTGTTACCGCGAGGATCCACCCAACTGTTTCACGAAGCCCCACAACACCTGCTGTTTGATCCTGCATCCGTTTCCCAGTAAGTATCTATCATTGTCTCCACCCTGTAGCCACAGATACAGTGTTAGTGCATACATGTGTATTCTCTGTTTCTTCCTCTTACATCAAGTTTCTGGTTTCTTGAATGGTCTTAATTCAACTTGTGATGAATGTTTTTTATTTCTTTATTTGGTCCGTTCTGTTTGATTCCTCAGTTTCGGGGCTCCCTGGGTATGAAATGACATATTGTATTCTTCCTGACAATGTAGTCCTGAAGGGATGAAGGTGCAGTTTGTTTATAGCAGCACTAGGGGGCAGCCCTGTACTAACAATGAAGTGAAGCCCACACAGTACAACTCTCTGCGCTTTGAGCCTTTAGCAGCGGCTGATGCTGGTCACATCTTCAGCTCTGGACCAAGGCAGTCATTTGTACTCCTTATTGCCAGACAATGATGTTACAACGTGTCTAATTCTGCCTAATAAACCGTCCTCTTCCTGCCTCATACTAAATTCAAATTGACAGCGTAGGCCATTATGTGTAAGTGTATTAGCTCTGAGAGGTTGTCAGAGGGAGGAAAAACCAAACAATGCTTTGTGTCAGACTGATCTGTAAACCACCAGCGAGAGGACATGATGGCAGGGGAGGAGGACACGCTAGACTTCAGCTGCCACGCACACGTTCCCTGCCACGTTCTTTATTCGACCCGTGTGAGTGAACAGAACTCTAGAGGGCTGAAAGTCACGCGGCCCCCCCCCCCACTTTCTCTCTCTAACAGGCTCTGGTTCAGTGAAGCGGGGGCTTTTTTACAATTCGTCCCGACAAGCTTACTTAACCACCTGCATTATTTAACAGTCTTTCCTCAAAGGGAGCTCTAACTCTCTCTCTAAGTTTGATGAAAGCATGCACACTGAGAAACAGCCAGGCAAACGTCTCCTCTCTGTCAGAGAAGGGACAAATACTGTAGGCACATACGCTTAAATTGGTAAAGACTCCAAGTGAGTTTTGGCCATCAAGGTCAAGTGAATCAGGATGGATAAAAGCAGCAAAATATCTTACAGCAAACTCTGTGTAGCTAGTTTTCCCTTTTGAGTTGGTATATTTTTATTGACACACACACAATAAGATGAATATTAAATTCCTCACACCATTGAAAACCTGAGAAAACGAAGTACTTATCTTGAATTCAGGCACCTTCAGCGTGGCTTTTATCATCTGGCCTGTTTAAAGTCTTTTATAAGCCTAAGTACATTACCTATTGAAAATACAGAGAATAAATAACCTCGGAGAATGTTCCAGCAGCGTTCCCTCTCATCTTGTTGAGCCCAAGGCAGAGGGAAAGAAAATGAAACCTGAAATCTATGGATGTACAAAGGAAGAATTTGACAGTCTCGGAAATAAGCTTATTTGCTTCCTCGCCAAGAGTAAGACAATGAAAGCAAAACTATTTGTATCTGTCCATTAAATGTGAAGCCGCAGCCAGGAGATGTTAGCTTAGCTTAGCACTATGTCTGTAAACAATGGGGAAACAGTTAGCCTGAGTCCATCCAAAGGTTTTAAAAAAAATAAATACATATATTTGCAAACTATTTTTTTTTAAAGAAAACAGAAAGCAAAGCAGAGCACTGAGCACAGCAGTGACTGCAGAAATGTTACTGCAGGGCTGTGGGTACAGTTTGAATTTACTGACAGCCAACATACCAAGTATATTGACATTAGCTGTAAGCTAGCTAACAATGTACACACTGACCCTGTGCATTGAAGTATGGGTGTTTTTGTGAGAGCCTCTGACTGAACTCAGAAGAGTCTCCATCCATTCCCTGTTTTTTTGCCAGGCCAAGAAATTGTCTAGCACATAACCCAAAACCACAACTTGTTGCCACTAGTCAGCTTTCGAGGTGTTAATGTGTATTTTGTGACTTAGGACTGAGACAGACTAGTTGTTTCCCTGTTTCCAGTATGTGTGTTAAGCTAGGTTAAACATGTCTTAACCCAAAGTGTGCAGACAGATAAACTGTTGTATATAATGAGATCAATACATAACTCCTTTAAACTAACAAAGTGTTGTTTTTGCATTTCTTTTTGTGTACAAAAAATATATTATTAGGTATTTCCCCCTAGCTGTTTCCAGTCTTTATGCTAAGCTAGGCTAGTCATCTCAAGCTCCAGCTTAAACTGAATGGACAGTTAAAAGACTGGTGTCAATCTTCGCATCGAACTCTTGGCAAGAAAGTGAAGGAAGCATGTTTCCTAAAATGTCAAATTTTAGGCAATAATTCGCCTCAACTTGGCCATTTTGTAGCTAACAAGATCTAACAACACGCACTTAGGCCCCACTGTACACAGAGGAAACCCTGTTCATTGTAAACATAAAGCCCACAGGCAGAAAGTGGCATGGACAGAAGTTTCTGGCTTTCACTGTTCAGCAAAATCTCATGGGTAAACAAACAGTTGCAGGGGTTGAAGAGGGTATACAGTGGATATGTCATGTCCACACATGATTGCACAAACAATGTCACTGGTGTGTGCTCAGTGTTATTGTAAAGCTCAGACAAGCACTGCAGCAAAACTGGCTCAGCTTCAAATAAACATTTAAGCAGACTAATCCATAGCTTTAGCTTCACAGAAGATTAATCTACGGTGGCTGCAATCGATGCCACTGTTAATTCACATATCTAATAAATTTTGTGCATAATGTGACCTGCCAGCGGTAATGTATTGGAGCAGTTGGGTGGAGAAATGGTGACATTAATTTTGCATTGTTCCTCCATCTGGATATTCAGATAACAGCACTGAGTGCAGAGAGAGAGAGAGGCAGAGATCAAGGGGACTATAAAGACTTGGAAAGGGAATGGAGCTAAGTTTAAAGGCCTATTGATGGAGAGGGATGATTGTTTGTCCCTCTATGTGCATGTGTCTTTATTTCCTTGTCTTCATTCTTGACGTCCACGTGACATCAGACTCTCACCAACTAAACTTCCTGCCATCCAAGACTAGAAACAAGAACAGAAGTGTTTGGCTCATTAGGCTCCATCAGCCTCTTCTGACAATCTACTGAGTCATCATCTGCCACCACTGTTTACCCCATTCATTATGAAGCAGGTATCACCATTTTATTTGACATAACACCATTAGCTCGTGTGTGTATGTGGGCCTAAGTGTGTGAACACCTGCGGTTGTGCACTCTCTGGAGCCCCAGTCTAATTTATGTTTTCGGTTCCACAAGATGCCCAGGATGGGTGGGAGTGACTGTGTGTGGGTGTGTGTGTGCGTGTGTGTGTGTGTGTGTGTGTGTGTTTGAGGTTTTTATATTGATGCACGGCGCCTGCAGATTCGGCCCCATAAACCAGCCTTGAGTGTGAAGGCCTGGACCACATCCATCGCAATCTAACCTTGTCACGCCGCATATGCTTGAGGCCACCTTTGGCCACCCACACCCTTCATTAGCATTCAGAGAGATAGCATCCGCTCTCACCAAACAACAAAGTGATATAGGTGTAGGCTGATACATGGGGCCAGTTTTAGTCTTTGATTAAAATCAAATATGGACCAGCAGCAACTGTGTGCAACCTGGCTTGGGAACATGCAAGACGAAATCACAATATCATCTTTAGAAGTGTTAGTGGCATATTTTTTAACTTTGGACAGAGCCAGCAGTAGCTAGCTGTTTCCAACTTCCAGACTTTATGCTAAGCTAAACAAATTTCCTCCTTTCTTGAGTAACTTCAGGGTATGGCACATATTCCTGAATAATTTTTTTTTTTTTTTTTAATTAAATCACTAAAAACTAATTTGACAAACAGCAACTATGGGCACATGGTTCTTGCGTAGACTAACTGGTTGGTATTGGGGGCACCTGCTAAACTATTAGGAA